GATTATACTAATTATATTTTAGATTTTTTATATTTAAAATGAGATGTTTATCCTGTATTTGATTGTGTTTATCTGCAGTTAGTTACACGAATTCAAATATGAGATGAAATCGGATAAGAATGAAATCGTTTAGGGATGAACGGGTTTAAGAGTTTTTAAGAGTTTTAACCAAATGCTTTATAAGATAGTATAAATATAATGAGGTTAAAAAAAATTAGTATCATATTACGGGCCCATACATGTATTACATAATTACATTTGATAAGAAAATATGTAAAATGACATCTGGTCGTTCATTTTATAGTATATTATTGTTTCTCTAAGGGGCCGTTTACCTAAACACTTACCCGGTAAGCATTTACGGTAAAATTCAACACTATTGCCTACTTATTAGATAAGATTTTATTCACTAAAATGCATCGTATGCAACAATTTAGTCCCGGTAAGCGCTAACCATGGTAAGAGTGGTCGCCCTCACTTACCAGGTGAGACTCTCGATTCTTGCGTTCGCTCTTACCAGATAAGATTTTTAGTCATTGTCATATTCATCCAGTAAAGAAAAGTGATTTGGTAAACACTTACCCGGGTAAGCATTTGGTAAACGGCACATAAGTTTTTTTTTTATCTAGTATTAAAGTTTAAAATTATTTGTTTTTGAAAACCCTGATATATTTTCTATCATTCATCTAATGCCGACTCTTTTTTGATTATTCCATCTATGTGAATTCTATTTTTGTATTAGAATATAGTAAATTTCTACCTTTTGAAAAAATGTAATGTACCATATGAGGTAGCCCAACTTATACTTATATTTAGGATTTCAAAACTATCATTGTTTTCTCATACAGTATTGACCCATTAATTTTCTTATACTGAATGCATGAATCTTAAGTATTCTTCTGTCACTAAAACAAGAATAAGATATCAAACTATAACCAACATGAACTTCTGATTCCAAGAAATGATGGTTCTGAAAAAATTTGTTTCAACCCTAAAAATTTAATACAGTGATGAAAAAAACATTAACATGATATGAGATGAAAACCCAACTGGTTAGTATGATTTAGATAGAGGTCACTCTGAGTACTCAATATTATGACCCCAAATAATGTCAATCAGTATATAATGGTATATCATAAGATGTTTTTGAAATTGCTACGGCTTGACGATGCTATGTAAAATATTATGGTAGATAATATTGATTTTGAAGTAATTATTGATTGGTTTTATGTAAAGGAATACTCTGAAAAACTATTTATATGAGTTATTAGTATTTTTGAATTCAATGTTATTTCTGATGATAAAAACAATATATTAGATATTTTTTCATACATATTGAGGACCTTTTTTACATCTCGTCCAAGACCTATAAAATGTCAGAAACGGGCCTGAAAAAACTAAAGTAAAAACACTGATAATTAGCTAATCTATACTATATTATATAACATTTTACAAAAACTCTTTAAAAAACCATTTTTTATGCATAAAGTACTATATATTGATGCATATTACTTAAAATTCAAGATTACAAGTAAATTATGCATAAGTACAACTTATTAAAGCTCCATGTTTGAATTTGTGTAACTAACTGCGGATAAACATAACCAAATAGAGGATAAACATCTCATGTTAAAATATAAAAAATCTAAAATATAATTAGGATAATTATCAAATTCTAACAAAATAATTAATTATTATATTTATAAGAAAATTATATTATTAAACCAAAATATAAATTATTTCGTTATTGAACCTAAGTTAAATTAAAAAAATTGAATTAAAAATTACACAAAAAATAAGAATTTTAAATAGTTAATTTGATACTAATGTCGATATATTTTTGTCAAATTTTTATGATATTCTCAAGTTTATATTTTATTTAAAAATAAAAAAATGATCGTTTTTTTCAAAATCACATAAGACCATACTATAACATCGACTGTGATAAATAATAAAATAAAATATTAAAATCAAGATATATCTCGCTGCATTGCACGAGTACCCTTCTAGTTACTTCTAAACACAAAAGCTATCAAATATTTATTTAGGAAATTAATTAAAATAGCCATTTTCAGGTGTTGGTTTCATCTCTTAGCCATTACTCTTCAATATTTAAAAAATATCACTACTTCCGTAAGTAGCAACTCCTCAACGGAGGGGTCAAAGTGTAAAAAAAAATTCTGGATAAGGCCCATTTATAAATTAGTCCCAACACCTCCACAAGCGACGGAAATGCAACTTGTGGACCTATATCTAATTTACAAATTTGATCCCTGCACTTGTGGAAATGGTACAAAATTCTTTTTTACACGTTGATCCTTCCGCAAATTAAGGAGGTATCACTTACAATAATAATATTTTGAAATTTGAGGAGAAAAATGACTAAGAGATTAAATCCAAAATTTAAAAGCGATTATCTATACTATATTATAAATCATTTAACAAAAACTCTTAAAATTCATTTTTTATGCATGAAGTATTGTTTATTGATGCATATTACTTAAGGTTCAAGATTACAAGTAAATTGTGCGTAAATTCAACTTATTAAAGCTTCATGTTTGAATTTGTGTAACTAATTGCAGATAAACATAATCAGCTAGAGGATAAACATCTCATTTTAAATATAAAAAAATCTAAAATATAATTAGGATAACTATTAACTTCTAACAAAATACTTAATTATTATCTTTATAAAAAACTAGAAGGGTATTCGCACAATGTAGCGAGATACATCTCGATTTTAGTGTTTTGTTTTTTTTGTCTTAGTCGATGTTATAATACGGTTTTATGTGATTTTAAGAAATAGATAATGTTTTTATTTTTTAATAAAATATAAATATAAAGATATCATAAAAAAATATTGATGTTAGAATCAAACTAACTATTTGAAGTTTCTCCCTTTTTATGTATTTCTGTAATTTTTTATTTTTATTTTTTGGTTTAATGATATAAATTTTTTATAAAGATAATAATTAAGTATTTTGTTAGAACTCAATAATTATTTCAATTATATTTTAGTTTTTTTATATTTAAAATGAAATGTTTATCCTCTATTTAATTATGTTTATCTGAAGTTAGTTACATGAATTCAAATATGAAGCTTTAATAAGTTGCACTTACGCACAATTTATTTGTAATCTTGAATTTTAAGTAATATACATCAATAAACAGTATTTCATGCATAAAAAATGGTTTTTAAAAGTTTTTGTCAAATGCTTTATAATATAATATATATTATATTATTAAATAAAAAAATTAATTAAAGAAATACACAAAAAAAAAAAAGAAATTTTAAATAGTCTGTTTGATACTAATATCAATAATTTTTTTTCCTTTATTTTTTATGATATCTTTATATTTATATTTTATTCAAAGATAAAAATATCTTCATTTTCTCAAAACTATACAAAATCATATTATAACATCAACAAAGACAAAAATAAATAATAAAACAAAGCAAAACAAAACACTAAAATCGAGATGCATCTTACTATATTGTATTAATGCTCTTCTAGTTTCTATTAATTTTTCTTATTAATTTTGCAAATCCTTTTCATAAATTCATATAAAAAAAGGCTTGTTTAACATCACCCAAAAACAAAATGTCTATAAAAACAAACATGCAGGCATCCTCATCCAAGATGACACCTCTACTCTACTGCATGTTCAGCTTTTTTAGGTGCTGATAACCTACTAAAACACAATCATCACCACCATCATCATCTTCTCTCTCTCTACCCTTCTCTTTAATGGAGGGAGAAAAGCAACAACAACAATATTACTCGCTTACAATCCCTCTGTTATTCAGTGACGAAAAGGAAACGAAGGCGGAGGAGCAGCCAATCGCCGCCTTAACCAACACCGCCACCACCGCCACCACAACCACTACCGGTACTTCCTCCTTCTTCAACACATGTTTCAATGGTCTCAATGCTCTATCAGGTTAATTACTCTCCAATTCCTCTTTGTATTTCTATTCATTTTGATTTTTAAGAGCGATTCGGTCGTACGATTGAAGGTTGAGGCGGTTAAGATCTACGGATTTTGACCTAAATGAGGTCGAATCGTAACGTGATTTCGTCAAAATCGTTATTGCCTTACTTCGATTGATTCCGATTCGGAATCACTTGGAATTTGGAAACGAAGCTGTAATATGATATGAAGTCTCCATCACTTTGGATTAAGCACAATCTTCCAATTGAAAACGATTAGGTTGATAGGATGTCTATGTGTTTAGGTCTTATTGACCGGAAAATATGGAGTTTACTGAATAAAGTTTACTAGAAAACTTTTTGAATAAGTCATATTTTATATCATTAAATTATTATCAAACGATTGCTGATTGAATAAGCTGTGATTCTCGTTAAATTCGTTAAGCCAATAAGCTGTGATTCTCGTTAAACTCGTTAAGCCAAGGGATTGCTGAGTGAGAATTTGAAACAACGGCATGAATATACTACTTAAAGATACTGAATAACCTTTTTCTGAATCTAAAAAGCTGCTAAACTTTGAGATTGCTTTTATTAAAGTTAACATGATCACGTGCTAAATAAATGGAAATTGATCAAAACAAGACAATTTCTTTGGACAAGTGGTGTTTGAGATTGCTTATAAAAACAATTTATTGACTTATACCTTGTGTTCGAATAACAGTTTATATCGGTGTCAAACCGGTAATAAGGAGTTTTTGAATAAGTTAAACCATTCTAACTTATAATAAGTTGATAAGGACTTTTGTAGAAAAAAATATAATTTATTTCAAATAAGCAATCCCAAAAACCTCCAAATTCATCTTTTAACAGTTTTTTCAGTTGAATTTTTATTTTGGCAAAGTTAGGCAAATTCGATTTTTAGAAGGATCTATTTTTGCGTAAATACATAAAGATTTTTCTTAAAGAATGTGAAAGTAGGCTTTACGTAAGTCTAAAATATGAATTCGATTTCAAAAGTGGCTAAAAAGTGAATTTGGTTGAAAATATCACTATTTTTGTCAATTCTCACTTACAACTTATKTTTTTTTTTTTTTTTTTGTAAAAGTGATTATCAACTTATACGGTGGCAAACTGAAGTTTTATAGAAAGTGTTTGCATTAGCTTATGGTGGTACCACACCAGATAAGCTGATAAAATAGATGAGATACTTTTTTTCTTTTTCCATCCAAACACTAAAAACTTTTTATTGCCGGTACCACACCGGAATAAGTTAATAAGTTAGAAGGAAGTAACTTATTAAAAACTCTTTATTACCTGTGTCAAACTGGTATAAGCATTTTTTTTCTCCATCTAAACACTAAAAACTCTTTATTACCTATGTCACGCCGAAATAAGTTAATAAGTACTTTAAATAAGCAATCCCACAGCCATAGTCTACTTTTATTTATGTATACTTTTATTTATGTATGTCAAAATCAAACGATTGAGACTTGAATAAAAGAGAAGTACACCAATTTGTAGAGTTCAATAATTTTTATCTATTAAGATATTGCTTGCCCAGCAGCCACCAAATTTCCTTTTGCAATACTACCTCCTTCCAGGATTAAATATGTCCTAATTTCAAATTTTATAAAAATTGTCACACTTTTTTTTAAGTATATAAGAACAAAAAAACTCATACACCCTCCTCACCTTTGATGAGACTTGAACCCTTGACCTGCTAGCAGGCCAAAGATTCACATACCGCTAGGCCAAAGACCCTTTGGTAATTGTCACACATCTTATTGTAGATAAAACTTGATGACTATACATAATCATCAAATATTTAGATTGGTCTTATCTAAAACATCTTACTTTGTCTCTTTAGGGAGAGGAAAGGTCTACATACATTTTACATTCAAATCTTACTTTCGAGTGAAAATACAATGTTTATATACAATATTGTTTTATATGTGAAACGTTGAAAACTGTTTTTTTTCATAACACCATATAAACTCTGGATGTTCACAGTATTGTTTCATAGGTGAAACAATATTAAATTTGTAAATGATTATGTGTTATATATAAATATTGGTTTTGTTTAAATATTTAGGTCGATGGTGTGTCGTAGACGGTAATACCTTAATGATCATTTTGCTCTAAAAAAGAACTCACATCCGCTATATGACAAGAAAGAAGAGTCTTACTATGCAGCCTTGTGAGTTGTGACTATTAAAACGTGTATCAGAAGTCAAATTTTGTAGGAACATAAACAGATTGCCTAAGAAGGAATGGGATACAACAACTCTGTTTTTTATTGGAGTCTTAAATCCTTCTGTATATATATATATATAGAGAGAGAGAGTCTCGTTATACGAGAATAAGAAAATGGCCTAATCACATGTGATTCATGCGACTTATGGTCATGGGCCATGTTACTTGCACACCCTTGTATTGACCGTTAGTGTAAAATCACGTGTGATTTTGCACGTGATTTGACCGTTTTCGTGTTCTTTTTATTTGGTTACTGTTCTCGTTTGAACCTTCCTCTCTCTCTATATATATATATGTGTGTGTGTGTGTGTGTGTGTGTGTATGTGTGTGCTGGGTGGTTCAAATAAGAAGACTAAACATCGTGAGAAGGTAAGAACGAAATATTCATATGTAAATCATTAAAAAAATCCAATTGAAGATGCATATGTGAATCCATTATAGATAATCTGTAACGTCGGTTTACATATGCATCTTTGAATAGATTTTTTTTTTTTGAATTTTTTGAATGATTTACATATGAACTTTCTCTTCTTACGATATTTAAGAACCACCCCCATTATATAGGGAAATTAACAGAAATAGCATGTTCAGGGATCAAATTTATCTCTTAGCCATTTCTCTCTGGAATTTTCAAGAATATCACTACCTCGGAAGTGGCACCTCCGTGACTTGTGGAGGAGCTACATGACAAAAAAAATCACTTCTCACCCACTTGTGGACCTGGGTGAAAAGTGAATCTTTTTGTGGTCTTTTAGTTCCTCTACAATTAATGGAGGTTCCATTTGCGGAGGTAGTGATATTTCAGAAATATTCAGGAAGAAATGACTAAGAGATGAATTTGGTCCCTGAAAATGGCTATTTCCCTTATATATTGGGTAACCGTGGGTATCGTGACTAGCTTCTGTGCACCGACTAATCCCCGGTCAACCACGAATGATCTGGAGTCATCATTGATGAACCTCCAAGGCCACAACCTGAATTCCACTAACATCCCCCTGAACCTTAACCAGTCGTTTTCTTAACTTATATTTTGCATTCATAAAAGCTGAACTTTTTGAGGGTTTTTTTCTTAGGAGTTGGGATCCTCTCAGTTCCATATGCATTGGCATCAGGAGGGTGGTTAAGCTTGCTACTTCTCTTCACAATAGCCATCTCAACTTTCTACACAGGATTATTAATAAAAAAATGTATGGATGCCGATCCTACAATTCGAAGTTATCCCGATATCGGAGACCGAGCGTTTGGTAAAAAGGGCAGGATCATCGTATCCGTCGTCATGAACGTAGAACTCTATTTAGTCGCTACAGGTTTCTTGATCCTCGAAGGTGATAATCTAAGTAACTTATTGCCGGAAATGGACTTCGATCTTTACGGGATTCATGTAGGTGGTAAGAAAAGTTTTGTTGTTATCGTTGCCGCGATCATACTCCCCACGATTTGGTTGAACAATTTGAGCATTCTTTCGTATATATCGGCAAGTGGTGTCTTAGCATCTGTGATCATCGTGGGGTCGATCTTGTGGGTTGGTGCGTTCGATGGTGTCGGGTTTCAGGAAAAGGGTAAACTCGTAAATTGGAGTGGAATCCCTTCGGCTATCAGTTTGTATGCTTTCTGCTATTGCGCTCATCCGGTTTTCCCTACTTTATATACTTCCATGAGAAATCAACATCAATTCTCAAAGGTATTACCTTTATCTTCTCTGCATTTTAATGTTATGAAATGAATTGAATGTCTACACTAATGAGGTGCACCAAAATGCACCGAATCAATTCCCTTCTAAAGCAAAATTCATGGATGGCCATAAGATTAAAAGTGATCAAGGGTTCAGATCTCTTCTTACGTTTCTTACCTTAACTCTTTTTCTTACATGATTGTTCGTCTATATATAGAGAGAAAGAGGAGGGGATCAGCTGGTCAGGATCAGGGAGAACTGAAAATGAAAATGAAAATGAAAATTTGAGGAACACTTCAGTAAACGTTCATCTATACGATATGCACATGCGAATATAAGTAATTTGTAACTAATTTTTCAGTAAACATGCACATGGGCATAGAAACCGGAAAACATTTCAGTTACTTGTATGTACATGTACGTACCGTGCACTTGAACGGTTGCTATGTGTTACTCAGTTTTTCATTTTTTTTTTTTTTTTTTGGTTTTTCCCTGAACTCCCCCCTCTCTTTCTATATATATAGATATAAATATATATACACACACACATATATATACTTTTGACCCCTTAAAGTTTATAAATTTAAATTCTGACCCCGTTACCAAAATTTCTGGATCCGCTAATGCTTGTAATACATTGTTTCGGTTCTGAAAATGCAGGTGTTGCTACTTTGTTTTGTCTTTTGCACAATTACGTACTCATCAATGGCAGTCGTTGGCTACCTTATGTTTGGTTCAAACGTAGAGTCACAAATTACGTTAAACCTTCCTACTGACAAGATAAGTTCGAGAGTGGCCATATGTACAACCCTGGTGAACCCGATAGCTAAATATGCTCTGATGGTGACACCAATTGTCGACACTATTGAAGCACGGTTTTTGACTTTTTACAATACGAGAAAGTTTAGCATCTTGATTAGAACAGTATTGGTAATAAGCACGGTACTTGTCGCACTGGCGCTCCCTTTCTTTGGGTATTTGATGTCACTTGTGGGAGCGTTTTTAAGTGTCACGGCATCGATAACGCTACCGTGCTTGTGCTACCTGAAGATTTCAGGCGCCTATCGGAGACTTGGATTTGAATCGGTGTTTATCGGATTCATCGTGTTCGTTGGGATATTGGTTGCAGTTATTGGTACTTACACGTCATTGGTAGATATAAGTAGGCAACTCTAAGCGGTGGAATACGAACGGAGAACTTCACAACGACGTTATTTGAGTACACGATAACTTATATTTAGAACTGATTTCCGGTTTGTAGGTACGAGCAGTGTTCTAAAAGACTCGTTGCGGTAGCCATCATGGTGTGACATGATCCGAGGGTCGCGTCTGATGCCACGTTAAGCTTGTGGCACACCATGATCTAATGCACGGTTTTTGTTATATGATATTTGATTTTTGTTACTTCCTTAGTGTATTACTTTACGGTATTTATAACCTAATTTAAATTGTTTAACATCACTTTGGTGTGTTACTTTATAGTTTTTAGTATATACTAGAACAGGACTCAGCAATGCAACGAGATATATCGGGATTTTAATGTTTCATTAGACAAGATCTATGTCGATATAATATGTTTTTATGTGGTTTTGAGAAACATAAATTTGTGACTTTAGCCGATGACAAAGACTGGAAACCCGTAAATTTTATACCATAAAGTATTAAATTTAGGGGTTGTTTAATTACCAAACGCTTATCTGATAAGTGTTTACCGGTGAAATTCAACACTATCACTTACTTACGATGATAAGATTTTACTTTACCAAAACGGCACCGTATACACAAAATCTACTCAGAATCGATGGTAAGAGGTTAACGCTTACGTGAATTGCTTAAACAATCTCAATCCGCCCCTCTCGCGGTAGAAGAAAATATACTGACTGTTTATACCGGAAGCCACAAGTACTTGCAAAGGACGAAGAAACCACTCGCCAAGAGACAATAACAGTATCTACTCAGACAGTACAGTGACAGTATGTTGAATCAGCAGCAGACAGTAAGTGTCTTTTTTACGAGCGCTTTATTCTACCTCCGCTTAAAAAAGGTCATTCTGATTTATAATTACAAAACAGGTGTATGTATACGTGGAAAATGGAGATGTTCAGTAAAGAGTTGATCTACATTCAGTATTTAACACATAAAATATTTTAATTCATGTTATTTAAAATATTACGGTCTAAACACCATAATAAACTATTAGCACATAAAATGAAGCCGATAAGTGTGCCAACTTATACATTCAAGCGTTACAACTCTTAAATTTAAATCCCGAGAGACACCATTTCGTGAAGCGACCCTTATGGTCAAATTGTTGAAAAAGATTATGGGTCCACGTCTACGTTACACCAACTTGAACTGTCATTGGTATGTAGCATGACATTCAGTGATGTTTATTTTTCAAAACTGATTCTAAACTGAATCAAACAGATCTAGTATGTCTTATGAGGTCTAACCCAGTATATATTGTCGTGTCTAAAAAGGATCATATATATGCAAATCTGATTTATATCTGAAAAAGTAAAACGATTGTTTTCATGAAAATACAATTCTACGATGCTAAAAGAGACGATATATGGGCTTTTTATACAACAAATGGGCCTGGCATGGTGTCCATATATTTTTTTAGCATTCAAAATTTGACATTAATTTTAAAAAATCGTTATAAAAAGCATGTATACATACATACATACATACATAGATACATACATACATAAATATATACATACATACATAAATACATACATACATAGATACATACATACATAAATACATACATACATACATAGATACATACATACATAAATACATACATACATTAATTAGTTGTGTTTAGTATTATAATCCATACACATTAAAAAAACATGTTTACCGTGTACATGACACCGGTTCTATTAATATGTTAATATTTAAGTTTTTATTTTAAACAATTTATTTTCATGATATCATAAAATTAAACACCGAGCTTTCACAACAAGATAATATGAATGGAACAAAAATAAATCTAATATTCACAACAAAAACATTGTAAATATATATATATATATATATATAGAGAGAGAGAGAGAGAGAGAGAGAGAGAGAGAGACGGGTTACGTTGAAAACCGCTCAATTCTTAAAACCATGAAAATTGAGTGCTTTTTTCACAATAATTTTATTCTCAACGAAACATAACCTTATATATGTAGGACGTATATACGTCGTATTGGGTTGCAATTTGTAGTGGGTCGTTGTTACCTATTTTACAACCCAACATAACATCAAATAATATACCAAATGGTCTTTAGCCTAGTAGTACGTGAGTCATTGACCTCCTAAAAGATCAATAGTTCAAACCTCACCAAATATGAAAAGGATGTGTAAGTTTATTTGTCGTATATAAATATTATATATTTAAAAAAAATATAAAATAATATCCTTAAATACTAAACAACGAATAAAAAGGGGTATTTTGGAACAAGTCAACTTTCATTAAATCATCACCAACACACTTACTATAATCAACAATCACAAACAACGTCCCATTTTTATGACAACGTTAAATATATCTGTTTGTTTGTTTGTTTATTTATTAAATAGCTGTTTTAGTCGTACACGCAATATTTGTCTCCCATTTTTCTATTATTTTTATTAAAAATATTTAAAAAAAATTAACTGAAAACACCTGTTAAACTTTCTTATTTTGAATTATTAAATATCTGATTATTTAACAAATAAACCATCCAACTTTTAAAATGGAGATTTTTATTTCTCATTGGATTTAAACCTGGGACCATACGGTGAGAATTGAAAGGAAAAACAAATCAAAGAGAGATGGCAGGGGCCAACGGTGGCGATAGACGGTATAGAGAACGGACAATGATAGGGCGACGAGGAGCGGCAAAGGGAAGTGTTGTCATAGTTTTTTTATCCAAAAAAATGTTCATAGACTTGATCTATACTATCTTATAAACCAGATTTATCAAAAGTCTTAAAAACAATTTTTAATGCACAAAGTACTATACATTTATGCACAAAGTCTTAAAAGTCTTAAAAACAACTCGTAATGCATTAAATACTAATATTTTATGCATTCAGTCTTAAAATCTCTTAATCTACAATTAAAATAACATATAATGCAAGTTACCAATGTATATTATTACATTTTATTTTCATGTTCCCAAGATACTTTTGGCACATTTCACTCATGTCTTCACCCTCTCATACATTTATGTCTTCTCCCCATCCCTCATTGTGAGATTCAAAATGATATTCACCATGAGTTATTAAAAGTTTTCCCATTCATCTCTCATTCAATTGCTCTAGAACTCTCGGTCTCGGTCTCGATATCTTGATTCTTTGTTCTTGGTGTAAATCGAACACATTTGTGAAGACGTTTAAATATGTTGGATTTTAAACCGTCACTCAATTTTTTTCATCGATATACTGTAATTGGAACCATCACTCTTATTTATTCAAATTGTATTAATATGTAAATATCAAGTGTAACTTATATCATCGTTAAATCTTCTCTAATAAAACCAGTGAAACTTCAAAATCGTTAAAATTCATGGCTCATGCCGCATTGCACGGGTACACAACTAGTCATTCAAAATGAGAAAGTCTAATGTTTTTTCATTTAAAATAATAATTTAAAAAGTTAATCATTCAAAATAACAAACTTTCTAAACTTTCTCTATTTAAATGAGATACATGTGGGATCCCTCTGTACCCTCTGTTCAGGATCGCCCCCATATAGTCAAAATCGCCCCAAGGGGCGATTTGCATAGTTAGTGGTTATTTTATTAATATAAAGTATATAAAATGATTATTTTGATTAATTTTCCTTTTAAATAACAGTTCTTTTAGTAAATTAAATTTCAATTATTTTTAAAAAAAATGTAATACAATAAAAGTGTTATATTCTTATGCGATTTATTCCCATTTTTTATATTTTATTATGTGTGTTCACATTTTATAATTAATTTTAATTTAATATATAATAAAAATATATTAAAAAATGTAGCAAGTAATGAGTTTGGTAATTGGATGAGTAAGAGTGAGGTGTGGGAGTCATTGACTTCAATTTCTCATTATCCATATCCATCTCTATAAATACATTATTTACATCATTAATAACCTACTTTTGAAACTTTCATTTTAGTACCTAAGATGTAAAGTTTTAAACAGTTAATTACTCGGGTAACCACTTGAAGACTAATTTTAGATTTAAAAAAAAATCCATATCACTAACTATGTCAGGAAATAATATTGAGTTGAATATCATATCAACATGGTAACCGGTTAATGCTTCAACCGGTTACCCAGATACTTAAGTGTTTAAAACTTTACATCTTATGTACCAAAATGAAAGTTTTACCAAAATGAAAGTTTTAGAAGTACGTAACTCAAAATAGAAATCAAGTTAAAGAACATTACTTTTGCATGCAATCTACCCAAAACTAAATAAGGGGCCGTTTACTAAACACTTACTTGGTATGTGCTTACCAAATAAATTTTCTTATCGGATGAATATGAGAATTGCCAAGAATCTTACTGAGTAAGAGCAATGAAAATGATAGAGAGTCTTACCTGGTAAGTAAGGATGACAAGTCTTACCTGGTAAGTAAGGATGACAAGTCTTACCCAGTAAGCACTTACCCAGTAACTTGTTGCATTCGATATGTTTTGATGTACTAAAATCCTACGTATAAAAATAAATCATAATATTGAATCCTATCGGATAAGCATTTAGGTAAATGGTCCGTAAGTCAAGTAGAAAACCATATATTACATCCCTAATTTCCATTGATGAATTCAATGCATCCAAAACAACACAACCAAACAAAAGCAAGAGTCTTGATTTTCTTTTGGATCCACCCAACAAGATTTGAACCAAGATCCATGCATAACATTACTCTAACATGGTTGGATTTGACTCTTTCACCCCTTCTCTATTTTTCAAGAAAATGCCAAGTTTTATATCATTCATTGCTACATCAATCAATAAAATACATCAAGAAATTGGGTTGTTGGTATGCCAATTAGTATGGCAATCTTGACCCACAACAATTATTCCTAATTTTATGCTTTTTTTTTTAGTATATAATATATCTTATATACGGTAAATGCAACAAATAAGCTCATACATCTTTTTCATCATTAGTGAGGTTTAAATCACTGACTTCCTAAAAAGCAAAAGGCTAAGATACCGTTATATCGAATACCGTTTAGTTGAATATTGATTGTTTGTTTTATGTTGTTATAGAACAACCATTTGATTCATGCTTTTTCTTGGATGTTTCAAGGCTCAAAAAGTCCTTTTTCAAACAAGTATTTTGAGCAATTTAGTGCAATAAAAATGGTTATATAAACCAAAGAGTCTTTGACTTAACGGTATGTAAGTCTTTGGCCTTCTAAGAGGTAACGGGTTCAAATCTCATCAAGGGTGAGAAAGGTGTGTGAGTTTATTTGTTTTATTTGTCGTATATAAATATTATATACTTCAAAAAGAACAGTTATATAAGATGTTAAACATATGTGAATATCTTAATATAATGTTTCATAGAACTTAAGTTTATATGTAGATATCATAATAGACTGTTTTATATGACATGAGTTTATAAAAAGTTTCTTATGACCTTTTTAAATAAAGTGTCAAACTAGTTTTAAGTGTTTTATAAAACCAAATATCCTGTAAAAAACGTGTTCACGTGAAAATTCTCACAATAATTAATAGGATATATTATTACAAAAGTGTCATATAAAAACCCAACATAGCATTTTTTTTAGAAAATGTCTTTAAAAACTTGTTAAGACGTTTAAAAACATCTTATCCAAATATTTTAATATTGTATGTATATGTACCTCCAAACGTAAATTCTATAAAGCCACTTATTACAAGATTTATATATATTTATCATCCTATAAAACAAATTTTACAGTAGTAAGTCATTTAGATGATACTTTAAGACATACAGTGGGAAGTTCAAATAAGAAAATTAAATATCATGAAAAAGTAAGAACAAAATATTCATATGTGAATCATCTTCCATAAATATTCAAATCATAATAAATGAATTCTCATCATTTCCATAAATATCTCAATTTATTTGGTTGTACAAATGCGACGGGTTGTATTTGAAACAAACTCTCTCTGTCTCTCTCTCTCTCTCTCTCTCTCTCTCTCTCTCTCTATATATATATATATATATATATATGAACCGAAATTTCATATGTATTCATATGTATTCACATGTGCATCTTCAAATAGATCTTTTCACTTATTCACATATGAATCTTTCCTCCCAACCTTCCCACACTATTCGCATATGAATCTTTCCTTCCAACCTTTCCACATTATTCATAACACTATTCACATATGAATCTATCCTTCCTACCTTACCATTAGATACTTATTTTAAATGAAAAGGCTAAATTTAGAAGCTGAAAGAGACATATTACTGGTTTATATGTGAATGGTAAGTAGGGGTTGAAGTTGAGTATGGCTGTGCTTGCAAACTGTTGGCTTATAATTGAAGTTTATCTGATTCCATATGGATTTAAGAAGTGGTTTTATCTAAGCTTCTATATCCATCCTTTCTTTCTCTTCTTCTGTCAAATCCTTTTATGGATCAAAACCCTAAAAAAATGGATCCTTTTCGTCGTCTTTTTCGTAAATCGCTACACGTTTTCCCACGTTTTTGGAGTTTTAAGACGTTTCTTGATCATAACACGCTCGTTTTCTGGATTTCGTGACGGGAACAACGATGCTGAAGTAGAAGATTCGGATGAAGATTTGTGGTATGAAGTGGAAGATTCGGATACTGGTTCTGGGATCTTGTTTTTACGCTACTACGAGGCTGGTGGTTCTTGTGAAATTACTAAAATAGCCTTTTGTGACGTTCGGGTTGAGTCGGTTGATCAAGAAACTGTATCCGCGTGCTCGAGTTCGGATCTTGATGATGAAAGATCAAGTTCTTGCTCTTCTTCTGGTGCAAGTTCTTTCTCACTGGGTGCCCATAGGGACATGGAGGTAATTTCACACGCACCATCATTGTCATCGTCGTCGTCGGCTTTGCCCATAGAAGATCAAGAGGCTGTTAAACCCAAAGAGGAGGAAGAAGAAGAAGAAGAAGACTCGTTCTACAAATCATACACCGAAAGAATGAGCTGGTTTGATCTTCTGAACCAAGAACGAACATGCGGATTGAGTGAGTTTCTTTGACTCGAGTCCCATCACTTTACAACAAAATTGGCTTTATAGAACGTCAAACATATCTAAATGTCTTAATAAGTTTATACGGCCAACCAAAGGGTCATTGGTCGAGTGACACCCCTGGGGTCAAGGGTCACCCAAAGACGAGGAGTGTGCGGGGGTATTTATCGTATATAAATGTTATACACTTCAAAAATATATATATATATATATATATATATATATATATATATATATGTGAACCAACGGTTCAAATAAGAAGTCTAAATATCATGAGAAAGTGAGAAGAAAAAGTTCCATATGTGAATAACTGAAAAAATCCAAAAGATATGTATTTAAAAGATGTACATGTGAACTGATATTACAGATTATTCATATGGGTTCACATATACGTCTTCAAATGGATATTTCAATGATTCAGATATAAAACTTTTTCACTTACATTCTCATGATATTTATCCTTCTTATTTGAACTTTTCAATATATATAGGGTTAGCGGGTCCAGTCCGGTTCATAAGAAAACCACAAAAAGAATATAAAAAAATTGAATAACACATTAATAATTATTCATTTGTGTAGTATGCACATGTGCATACAACTAATTTGTCGGGTATGCATACATGCATGAAGCATTTTCAAATACTTGTATGCACTTGAACATACCATAGAGATAAATGGTTATTTGGGTGTTCCTTAGTTATTCATTTTTGTGAGGTTTTCTTTTAAATCTCACACACTCTCTCTCTCTCTCTATATATATATATAGAGAGAGAGAGAGAAGCAATTAAATACAAACCATCTAATTTGTATAAATCGTACAAACCACCTTTATCCGTCGATTTTATTGTTTAATCTTGTGAAATTGTTTCATATAATTTTTTTTTTTATGAAGTTGTTTCATATATGGTTACGAAATTGTTTCATATATTATTTAATGAAATTTTAATGAAACTGTTTCATGTATTTCTCTAAAATTAAAATAATAAAGATGATAATATCTATGATTAACACCCTCCACAATAATAATGATGAATTAACCTCTCATAATTACAAAAAAATGAGCAAAATAAAAAATTATGCTTGATTGAAGGAGGTTTGTACGGTTTGTACTAATAACGTGGTTTGCAAAGTAAACCTCCTATGTATATACGTGTCTGTGTGTGCGCGCGCACCGATTCAAATAAGATGACTAAATATCATGAAAAAAAATCATTGATAAGAAGATTCATGTATATGTGAATCATTGAAAAAATCTATTTAATGATACATATATGAACCGATGTTATAGATTATTTATATAGGTTCACATATGCATCTTCAAATGGATTTTTTTCTCTCACTATATTTAACCTTCTTATTTGAACGTCTCACTAGACTTGGGATCTTGTGAGACCAGCCTGTTTTCGTGAGACCCGTGAGACCAACATTTTACACTTGAAACTTCACAGCAAAATGCTGTGAAGGTGACTTTTTAAAACCTTCACAGTGTTTTTGCTGTGAAGGTTCGACTTTTTTTAAACCTTCACATTGTTTTTGCTGTGAAGGTTCGACTTTTTTTAAACCTTCACAGTGTTTTTGCTGTGAAGGTTACGTGTAAAAATATGGTCTCACGGGTCTCACGAAAACAAGCTGGTCTCACGTGAACCCAACCCTATATAATATATATATATATATATATATATATATATATATATATACACATACACACGATTTTGGGTATTAACAGATGATTTGCGGACGTTACAGACGCATTTCTTACGAAGAAACGGTGTTCAAACGTCGAAAAAAGGCTAGTGAAAAGCTTAGAAAGTGATATGGAGATGGTGTATGTAGCTCAGTCATGTTTATCATGGGAAGCACTCCATGATCAATACAGAAAGCTTGAATCCATGGTTGCTGCTGATATCAGTTGTACATCTGGAGATGGTGCTTTGATCACTTGTACCTTGGCATCCAAATTCCAAAGGTTCCAAATTCTGCTTGATAGGTTTATGGAGGATGAAAGATCTGAAAATGGGAAAAGATTTTCGAATTTTATCCACAAAAGGTCTTCTCTTAAGACCTTCCTTCAAGTTCCTCACATTTCAGGTACATTTTCCCCTGATGTTTGTCAACCAAACAGGTGTTTTTTCATGTAACAATTAGACCGGAATCAGGCTGGACTGAACTGAACTGAACTGAACTGAACTGGACTAAGGGTCTGTTTACTAGCGGCTTAATTAGGCTTATTGGTCTATCTGGCTTCATTTGGGTTGTTTACTTATGGCTTTATTCGCACAGAACATGTGTTAATCGCACAGATAGAAATGGTGTGTTGTCCCCATTCAGCCACAAAAATGACACCCCTACCCCTTATTTAAAAGCACCACCTTCTTCCCATACGAGACACCCCATCATCGGCCTCTTTATGATTTTTTTTGTTTTGATGTTCAAATAATTAATACTGGAGAGTAAATCGGTCATTTATGTTATTAAGACTGTTGGTTTAGATAAAAAAAAGTAAACAGAACTCATTTATCCAGACAAACAAATTTATCCGGACAGACAAATTTATTCATACAAAACTTAATAAAAATTTGGTAAACAACCCCTAAGTAGATATGCACAAAAAAAGCCCATCCCAGTCGAAGTCTGACAAAGCCCGATCCGGCCCAAATTTTGGGGCGAGGATTTGACCTAGGCTTGGTCAGGAAAAGCGCAACCTGAAAAAAGGATCCGGAAAAGTGTGGTCTGAAAAAAGCGTGGTCAAGCCTTTTCTAAGCCTCAAAACCCGGCCCGACCCAGATCTGAAAAAGTTTGGGCCTTATTACCTACTGAAAACGGGTTTGGAATGCCTAGACCCAGACCTGAAAAAGCATGGGTTTTATGCATCTCTCCGACTAAGTGTGACAAAAAGCATTTTCTTTTGTTACTAATAGCAATATATGTGAAACCACAAGGGTGGTGCCTGATTGGTTTGAGCTTGGCTCCAAAGGTAAAAATTACTGGGAGATCTCAGGTTCAAATCCAATGAGAAATAAAAATCCTCTTGTGGCCACGGAAGTTCAAATGCGGTGACTCCGGGCTATCTACAAAGGCAGGTGGTCTGGGATTAGTCGGCTCACATAGTGGGTTGGATATTCAGGTAAATGAAAAAAAAAGACACCCGGTTTAAGTATTTAATGAGACTTTTTTATAGGACCAAAATTTGTTAGGTCGACTAATTTCGTCGTAACCATTTACTGTAACGTCTTTAATTTTGGATCCTGTAAAATATAAAGTTACATTAAGTATTCTGTTAAGACATTTGTACGTGTTAAAAGACCAATTTTGTTGTGGCGTGTCATGAACTTTTTTTTTACCGTTTTAGGCTTTCGTTCATCGATCTTATTTACGTGTTATATCTTAACTAAGTGGTATTATTGGATGAAATCTTTCGCATGTTGGTACATTTTCGTCTCATATCATAAAAACCGAATCTTTTGTTTCGTTAAGAAAACGTGGACAACGAGAAAGATGGAAGGAACGAAGGACTAATGATCCGGGCAACGGACGTGTTGAAGGCGATAGAGAAATGCATGAAGACTTTCCAGTTGTTTATCGAAGTAGACGAGAAGCAGCCGTGGTGGAGAGCAAGTGGTCGTCTTTCATGGAGTCGTTCGCCGTTGGAAGATCCAAGAGACTCCAACCTCTTGCACGATCTTACACGTACACTCCGACAGGTGATCCATTTTACGCTATCGTCTTTGTCCAGTATTTCTGATTCTGACTCGGTCAGCATCAGTATGTTTACCTAGGGTTGATCATGTCTGGACTCAAGGTGCTAAACGAGCACCTACCCGACCAGCGTTATCATTTAACTTACGGGTCCTGACTCACGTGCGGGTTCGAATCCCGTGTTAAGGCTTACCGTGTCTGTGTAGGTAAACGACCCCTCGATCTATGCTTGGTGTAGAAACAAACTAACGTTGAATTGCGTTCTTCGTTTTATGCTTTCTTTTCAAAGAAAGAGTTATGGATGAAGGATCTGAAGGGAAAGACGAGATGCTGGTTGAGAAGAAGAGTCCAGCACTTGGGAGATGTTCAGAATAAAGAGATGATGTTCGCCATGATTGAATTGAAGCTTGTGGCTCGAGTTCTGATGATGTCAGTAATCTCCACTTCTCAACTCCATTGGTGTCAACAGAAGCTCGATAATATAGAGATCAGCCATGGCAGAATCACAAGGTCATACGCTCGTTCATTGCTGTTTCCCCTTTCTTGAATGCTGCTGATTTAGCTTCATTGTGTTCTTATTTCTCACTATGAAACTCTTTGACGCATTTGATCGAACACCTTGATGGCATTTATTTGTTCTTTGCCGTTGAGTGCTGCTCTTTGTTACGTGTTTGGTTAGTTTTTCGTTAAATTCCGCATTGATAAAGTTCTCTTGTATGTAATTTGTCTATATAGAAAGAGAAAGTTTTTGTTTATGAAGGTTTTTTATAGACGGAAGGAGGGTGTTTTTATTTCCAGGGGGTTTTGGGGAAAAAAAAACTCGATATTCTGCATAAAGTTTCCCGTAGAAGCTTATTATATAAGTCAGTTTCTATAACATTAAGTCACTACCAAACCGTTATGTATAGTTGACCGAATAAGTTGCATATTCCATTAAGCTCATTAACTTGTTAACAAAGTGTGCTCTCTTATTAGTTATTTCAAAGGAACTTAGTTTGTCTGTATATATTTGTCGATTTAAGGGACGGGAGACCGGGTTTAAGGGAAGCACAAAGAGACGGTTGCATTATATCATAGTCGTTTCTAGTATTAATTTGTTTGAGTTGACTTAACATGATGGCTTATTGCATATGCTTGATGGCTTAACGATTAGATCGTAAAAAAACACTCCCATATAGCTGAGCCAATAAGCCGTCTACACAATTAAGCTCATTAAGATGTAAGTAAGCAACCCCTTAATCAAACTGATCTAAATTCTAAACCACACCGCTATCGATCCAAGAAGTATTGGTCAAATCAACATTTGTACGTGACAATATCCGGTTGTAGAAAGTAGTATCCCAATTCCCAACAGATTCTTTATAATTTTACCGAAACAGATAATCAAAAGGTTAAAATCTCGACAAAAAGAATTGCATTCATTTCCAGTAATTTCTCATTTTAGAGATTTCAACGTAAAAATTATATATACGAAATTCAAAATAAGCATTTACAATGCATAGGAAACTCTCCTTTCATGATCAAACTGCAAACAAGAGAGAAGTTCTGCAAACCCTTTTGAGAGGCTGCCTTCTACAGCACATTTGGATGAACCCAACGGGCTATTATTGTGTTTAACGATCTCGACGCAATCGTAAGTCGGTGGATATCCTTCACGGTTGACCAAGTTTTGACCGAAATCGGTTTGCCTTTTCTTGGAATTCATGACGGTATTAGACTTGTCGAATTCTTGGTCTTCGAAGTTTTCAACCAACTTCCTCTTCGCCCCCGGAAAGATTTTCAATCCTGCAAGAACGAGATTGAAGAGGTCAAATCTTGAGGATTGGTTCGACTGGCAATTAGAGGTTAGGTCTTGGGGATCCTCCCCGTAGCTTGAGTCTCCTCAGGGCCACTGGCCCCCACTGGATTAGTCGAGGTGCACGTAAGCTTAGCCCGTATACCCACGGTTACAGGAAGAAAAAAAAAACCTGCTTCTACACTTACACCTCTGGGCCAAAGACGACGGCTTACCAGAGAGAGAGCCGTTGATCGTTTGGGCTGCTGAATCACCACAACTGCACCCAAAACTACGGGCATCCTCGGATCCGTTTATCCTGTGCACCACAAAAATAACAAAACAAAAAAAAATTATTGATTCATTTAGATATCAACAAATATGCTAAGGGTGCGTTTGGTACAAAGACGGGACTGAACAAGGCTGAACGGGCGAGTGTGAAGTAGGCCTGTGAAAGAATTGTGAAAGATTTTAAGATTCTAATTAGACATGAGGTAGTTGAATAATTTACTAATCCGTCTCCCTGACTTTTAGAAAATGCATTTTTGTCCTACTCGGTTCTATTTTGTCCCAGTCTTAATGTCGCATACTGTCCAGCATACCAAAGGCACCCTAAGGGGCAATACCACTCTAGTAATCTAGCTCTCTCTTGGATAAAAAAGCCACGTCCTTTTTCAGTCATTGAACATTCCACATTTACCGCAAAATACAATTCATATTTATAAAAATTGCTGGTCAATGTGGGGGCAGAAACATTTCAAACAGAAAGGTAAATGACAAATCTATCATCTTCATAAGATTTATTAGCATAGAGGTTGTACCTATACATATGCTCAACAAACTCATCAATGATAACAGGCCAAGCTCCTGAAACAACCGATAGAAAAGAAAAAATTTGGTTAGAACCATACCCATTATCGGGAAAGAGCAGAAACTTCATCTCTTTTAGGATACCGAAAGATGCAGATCCCACAGGCCACAGGATAATACAAAAACTTGTTCTCCTACATTTGGCATGAGATTAGACTAGGACAGGGCAGGACCTGAATGAGACACAAATGCATTTTTTCTGTCCCACCAGAATGGGTAGAACAAAATAGGGAGATTGGAAAAGATTGGTAAATTACTAAAATACCCACGTCAAATTAAAACCCTAGAACCTTCGACAATTCTTTCACCCACCCATCTCACTCTCGCTCGTTTGGTCCAATCCAATCCAAATGCGTACCTAACGCACGGGGCAGGTTCTGTTAGGAACCTAAAATTGATTAGCAATCTGGGAACCGCCCACAGCGCGACACGTGGCATATTCATCATGAATGTTGTAACTTATTCATCATGAATGCTTTGATACGTGATGAATAACACGACCATATTCATCATGAATGTGTGATTCATGATGAATAACACTTGCATATTTTCATGAATGTGTTGTTCATGATGAATACTCGTCCTGAAAAGGGACACCGGACGCGCTGTGGACGGTTCCCGGGTTCCTGATCAATGTGGGGTTCCTAACAGAACTTCCCTCTTCATCAACAGCTGGTGGCAGAAATTTTTGTCCACTGGTTTACCAACTTTAGTTGAGGTCTCTCAGTCTCTCTGGCCTTAAAAGAATGAAGTAGCACACAAGGAACTTCATAATGAACCAGATCCCAAATTGACAAACCATAGAGAAAGAAAAAAATGCATCTTCAACAGACAGAAATAAAAGTGGCTTAAGAACCAGACGCAAACTAGTAAGTCTACACGTTAATACCTTCAGGGTCGTACCCTTCAAGATTTTCATGTACACAGCGACTAAAGGCCAAAACTTGCCCCCATGTGTCCTCGGAGATATTGTGCCGCTGATTTTTCTAGAAATTAAACTTCAAGAATTAGCTAATTCTATATGAAGAAAATAACTTTGGAAATATATTAGGGAGCATTGGTGATAACGCATTGATGCTAGGGAAATGATATGCTTTTATAAAAACCAAACCAACCCGGTATATCCCACCTAACGAGATATGTGACATGAGAATATTATCAAAAATGTTAAATTCATATAGTTTTTGTGTGTCGAAAGATGTAAACAACCAAAAATCAATCTGCAAAAGTTCGTTCTTTCAAATACATGGTGACAATTCCTCATCCAAGACAATTATGCATATATAGACCATCTTTTATATAACAAAGGGTGCACTCAAATTGAAGTATTTAAGAAATGTAATTTTTATAAAGTAAAAGCACCTCAATGAAGCTACACCATTGATTGAGTAGTCGGAACCTTCCTGACAAAACTAGTTTCCATGCCATGATTGCCCTGCTTACAGCTGGGAACAGTTCACAGAGAACGGTTTTCGATATTAGGTGTATATATTTGGTCATATAGCATAGAGGGAAAGTAGGATGATATTGATCACTACCGATATGTCATAGATATTGAAACTTACTGATGCTTCGTTGACCATTTTCTCGGCATATGAAGAACACAAAATTATAAAATCGTGAGAACTCACATGAGTCCACCTGCAGATATTAAAATGTTGACTATGAAATGAAGGTACTGATTGGTCTGATCCAATTTCAAAATATTAGTGCATTAACACCTTAAACAAATCAATCTAAACAAACCCAGTATACCCCACCCAAGGTGGGGTCTGGGGAGGGTCAGATGTATGCAGGCCTGGCCTCTAACCCGAAGAGTAAAGCGATTGTCTTCGTGAAAAGATCCCCGGCTTGTGAAAAGTGTGACAAAGATAGAAAGTCAGGAATGAGAAAGATTTGAAAATCCGGTTAACAAAAAGCAAATGCATACAAATAGAGGCAGGTACAAAAAAGTATAAGCATACAAATAGTGCATTGATCACATCTCACCATCAAATCAAGCCTTGACATAAGGGCAGGTACGTCTTCAAGAATTGGTGTCCTGTTATGGGGAACACAATACTCAGCAGTCTTAACTTTAAAAAACAATCCACTTGTTGCGGTGGCTAAAAATTTGGCCTCATGAGATATAATAAGAGAAATAAACAAGCAACGCCTTATGATGAACGTAACATCTAAAGATACAACTTATGCATGTCAGGTCATAGGCAATTCAAGTTGGTCAAATTGTTGACCTCTCGTCATTTATATGTACTCCAGCCATAGATACAAGGTGTTTAAAAGCAACTAACGGATTAGCATTTCTTGAACCTTTATTATTATGCCAAGCAAAAGAACTTTGGTCAAACAGAACACCATACTAATCACACTGAACACAGGCATGATCATGGTTTACATGCATAGAAAGCGACCGTTATCACGTACTCCCCAAATTCAAAATTACTTCATGCACTTGGAATGAAACAAAAATAAAGGTTATCTGTTTCACATGTCCATATTTACCCTTATTTGTAATGATGTGGGCATAAAACAATAAACCAAACCAAGAGAACTCAGTATATCCCATATGTACGCGGACCTGAACTCTACGCAAAGAGTAGAGTGATTGTTTCCATGATGACCCCCAACTCGGGAAAGCATGTGAGAGTGTGTGAAAGAGAGAAAGTTTAGCCCAAAAAGATTAAAGAAATACATAAAAATGGGAAGACTACGAAACTGTAAGGAAACTACACACCCCTAGCTTAACATAAGGCTCTTGCGACCTAACCACCGACACATTACTCCTACCCCCACCACCCCTCTACCTCCCGAATCCCAATCCCGATCTCCCTTCCTCCCATCTACCCTAACTAGCTATCTACAGATCCCACCCCTAGTCCGCTAGCGTCTCCAAAAACTCCTATCAGAGATTGCTATCCTCGGAGATGTCCAAAACCGCCATGTCCAACCTCAGTTGCTCATCCCATACTCTCCCCGGTGTACCCCTCATGGCATAAAACAATTACAACTAGTACTACTACATTAATGCTAAACGGTTATTATTGTACTAATATCTGTATAGGGTTTCAACAAGGTCAAGCTTAAGCATGCTTACCTTTCGTCCACCCCTGACCCAACCAGTTCTAGGAGTTGGGATAAGGCATTCCTGTAAAATTTAGCTTTCTTTGACCCGTTGGCTAATCTGTAACCATCCCCTCCATACGCATATGCCTCCGATATGATTTCTGCAAAAGAATGTCAACAAAATGACTTGAAAATGGGTTTACACATAATAAATTAACAGTGATCTTTGATAACGATAATCATAAATATTTTGGCATGAAGGATCTTCAAATTTAGTCGACATAGTCATAGAGCTAATTTCTCAGTTTTGCATATCGAATCCCACGAGAGACATTACGATATCTTGCTTGATTACTCAATTGACACCCTCCCTCTTCATCCAACTATAATTCTTAATAAGGATCTTCAAGAACACACCAAAAAGAAAATTCCATAGCAACTATTAAAGAATTAAGGAATCATTGTTACATTATAAAGAAGTAAAACAACTGAATTATAATTACCGCAATAGCGCCTGTACATCTCAAACACGTCGAGCCGATTTGAAACGAATGAAGAAGAATCCATCGGGACTAGGGAGGTTGACGAAGAAAGAGGAAATTCTGGTTTCGGGATTCGTTAAGAAACGAAACCCTAGACCATCGATCCCTCAAAAACAGTATCACTCTGTCTTCAATTTCCTGCAAATGAGGAAATTCCTGTGCGTATAGGTCCAATTGGAGGGGGTGAGGGATGCGATTTATACCTCGTTTCCCAAAATCTTGATTCGATGGTTCTTCCCCAAATTAGTATACGAACCCTATTTTCAAGCATTTTAATCGATTTTATTCAACAAATTGCTTTTCAAATCAGCCGTTGGTTCACATGACGGAAATTTTGACATCAAATTATTGTGAAGTATTTATTTACTTAAAAAAATATTAAAAATACGTAAAATAGCACCTATTTTTATAAAAAATTTTATTGTAATATTTTATTTTCAGTTTTTTTTATTACAATAATATACTTTCAAAATATTTTTTATTATGACATCATACTTTGAAAAATTTACCCGTTATAATTATTGGGTAATTTAAAATAACATGAAAGTCAGATAAGATAATATGTTATTCTATAAAAATAAGTTTGACCGGGAAGGCAAGAATTGTATATTTCTATATAAAATTTGAGGTGGTTTAATTAATTTTTCATTAAGTCGTCTATAGATGATTAATTTATTTTGACAGATGTGAAAGGTTTTTGTTTGGGTAAACTTTTTTTTAATCGACACAGACAGATTTGAAAAAACTTGACTTTCTGCATAAATTTTCCCCTAAAATCTTAGTGAATAAGCAATTTTATGTATCTTTAAGTCTCTACCATACAGTCATGCATAATTAACCAAATAAGTTGCAAGTTTCATCAAGTTTATCAAGTTGTTAACAAATAGACCCTTAATACGATCTATTGGGGTATATTTGTAATTTATTGTTTGGATCAAATTTTACACCAGCTTTTATTAATTTTTTTATATAACTTTATATTTGTTCAGTCTGTAACTATATATTTAAGAATGAATTGCAGATATTAGTAACCCAAAAATATTAATAATAAAATACTAGGTAACGTATATACTTTATGCGTTCTATAAACCAAAAAATATTGTTTATGTACATATTCTATAACCAAAAAAAAATTGTTCATACCAAAAGGTCTTTGGCCTAGCGGTATGTGAGTCGCTGGCCTCCTAGAATATCAAGGGTTCAAATCTCACAAAAGTTGAGGAGTGTGTGTAAGTTTATTTGTTCTATTTACCGTATATAAATATTATATACTTCAAAAAAAATTCATGTACATGCTTCATATGTTACCTACAACATTAAAAATGTGTTCAAATATATATCTCATACGTTATTAATTATCCAAAAATATCGCACCGTATATTTTCATAACCATTCTCGTTATTGCAGTATAAACCACCAACTTCTTGCTCTACTCCTATATGCCAAAAAGTTGCTATGGTATATTAACAGCAAACGTGTTATCTTCTCGTTCAGTATTAAAATTATGAAGTTCAGAACTGACTGTGGCAGTTTTCATATGTGTGTCTTGCATTTACCTGATAACCTGTCATTGGCAACTCCAATCTACTGGCCTAAGAAAAGTATCTCGAAGCACTTTACCATCAGCCGCTGACCTTCTATCCCAGTAACGCATTGATACGTTACATATCTTGTGGAGTATCATTCTCTCTCGATTTTGTATCCATCCTTGGCTTCGAATAGTGAACTTGTTTGATATTGACGTTGAAAACTATTCTACTGTTTTTCCATTTACCAGATGTTTTGTCCCACTGGTTTTTCTTTGTAAAATTTTAAGGAGGCACATTCTTTAAGCATTAAACATATCAAAAGGAGTATTATAAGAAATGTGTGATGAATGTAGATGTCTATTGATTATCACAACTTACTAGCAGTTACGTATACGTAGGTTGTTTAAGGATACTGAACATGTCAAGTCTAAACAGTAGACTTATATGTATAAACTGATTAGAAAACTATATATGATGACCGCTCAACTTTTTGATGGAGTAGAGAGCACAAAAGTTCAGATTCTTAGAAACCAGTATACGAGTTACAAAATCAGATCAATTTGAAGATCAATACATATTAAGTCCGTGTTGAATGTCAGGGTCGAAATCAATTATCAAGAAACAACAGATTTTGTTGAATAAATGATTGAAATTAACAATTTTTTTGTAAAAGTAGGAGGTTGGATTACAACGCACATACAACAGACATATCGAGATATCCATTTACACGTAAGAGGCAGCATTTGAATCGTTAAGAGATAAATCTGGTTTGGAAAAAAAAATTATGCCTCTTAATGGTTCTAAAATCCTTTGAATGATTTTGTATCATGGGTCTCTTTTAACCATTCAACACCCTAATTTTATTGTAAACAATTACCGAACAATTATATTTTATTTTGCACTATATAATGAGAGTCTCTTAATCATCCTAACCACCTAACCATTCAATACCAAACCATTCAGCGATTATCAAACAACTTATTAGTGTTGTCGAGTTATATAAGTTGGATTAAGTTAATTTAGGTTGCTTATATATTTTATACATTCATTAGGCTTCAGATCGATTTGAAATAGGTTGTTGCGTCTATTTTTGGATTTAGATTGTCTGATTTATGTACATACCCTTAAATATAATAGATAAAAATATCTCTAATAGAACCACAAGGATAGTGCTTGATTGGTTTGAGCTTGAGCTCCAAATGTCAAGAATACCTGGAGGTCTCATGTTCAAATCCGAGGAGAAATAAATATCCCCTTGTGGCCAAGGAGGTTCAAATGCGGTGACTCAGGGCTACCCGCAAAGCAGGTGGTCCCCTGGGATTAGTCAGCTCGCATAACGGGTTGAATATTCAGATTAATAAAAAAAAATCTCTAATATAAGATTTTAAGATAACTTGATAAGTAAATACATTTATATAATTCTAAAAAAATATGTATATATTTTTCGGGTTTTTGGATGGGTCGGATGGTTAAAAATTAAACTCAACCTGAACGCAAATATCCCCCTAAAAGTCGGGTTTTGATTTTCGGATTTCGAAGCATTTGAGTTTTGCACACCCTTACTTACAAAGTACTGATAGAATGGGGGTTATGTAGGCTTATTGTCAAACTTCGAGGGGTTATTTTCAAAGCACTGATAGAATGGGGGTTATTTTGTAAATTTCGCCTCACCGCCCACCAACTTATGACGTAAGCAATGACCGCCGACGAATTATCGCCGATATCCAGAACCTTCCCCTCATCCGTCTTATAAATAAACCTTCCAACACCAGAAACCCTCATAAGAGATACACTAATCGAATCAAAATCTGATCATGTCGTCGTCTCCGGCACCGGAATTTGATCAGTTCCTACGCGATTTCATCACATCATTCGCCAGAACCAGAACCGTCTCCGCCGCCTCTACTCCGCCACCAGATCACGACGGTGGAGGAGGAGGAGAATCACTCGTCTTCAGAGTTTTCTCTATCGGTCCAGGAAATCCGGTGAATAACGGACCGTTACCGGCGTCAAAATCGGCAATAGAAGCCATGCCGGTGGTTACTGCAACGGAAGAAGAAGATTGTGCGATATGTTTGACGGAGTACGGTGACGCCGGAGAAGCAAAAGAAATGCCGTGTAAACACAGGTATCATTCGGATTGTATACAAAAATGGTTAAACATCCATGGATCATGTCCGGTGTGTAGATACGAGATGCCGGTAGATGAAGAGGAGAAACGGCGGAGAGACGGCGGAATGAGGTGGCGAGTGATGATCACCGTAACTCGTCAAACTCCGGCAGGTGAGTCGAATCGGAATTCATTGGATTCAATAGAGAATAATGGATCATTGACAGAAGATATGGATATTGATGTGGGTAGAATTGGCGATTGGAATTCTGATAGCATGGATTTAGATTAGATTTTTCACTAATTCGATTCATTTTTCTCTCAGAAATTCTTGAGTTCTTCGATTATTTTGAATCAGGGGGTGTTTGAATGGATTATAAAAACAACTTATTGATTTATTTCGGTGTAAAACTGATAATAAATATTTTTAAGTATTTGGATAAATAATTTATATCGGTATGAATCTAGTAATAAGAAATTTGTAAAAAAGTTAAATTATTCTAACTTATAATAAGTTGGATTTTTACAAAAAAACATTTCAAATAAGCAATCCCAAACAACGAACTAAGCAAAGCGTTCAAGAATGGTGTAATTAATATTATGTTAGAAAATATTTGAATATTTTATATGGATTTTAATTTTAAAAAATTTAATCATTAAATATAAATTAAACTCAATTGTTACAAACCATAAAATCAATTTTAATCACACATTAGATTATTGTTTTATAAATAAAGTAAATTGCATGAAAAAATAACGTATTTTAATTTAATTTATATTTTAGGTAACATATTTTTAGAACTTTCATTTTAATATTTAAGATGTAAAGTTTTAAACATTTAAGTATATAGATAACAACGTTGAAAATTAATTTTAGATTAAAAAAATTCATGTCATTAATCATGTCAGCAAACAATACTCAATGAATGCATCACTCGTCATATCAGGATGATAATCGATTAATACTTTAACCAGTTATTTGAATATTTAAACGTTTAAAATTTTACATTTTAAATATTAAAATAAAAAATTTAAAAATATATTACTTAAAATAAAAATCTAGTTAAAATACTTTATTTTTTTAATATAATTTATCGTTTAAATATCATGTTACTATTTCCAATGAGATTGTCTAAGTGAAAAAATCACCCATTTCATGCATTTTTTTTAATTCAAATTATGTAAAATTATTAATTAAATAAACTATATAAATATAAATATTTAATTTAATTGATGTGATATCTATTGGTATTTGTTTTTCAATTCCTTAAACAATTTCTCCAAATTTCAATAGAGTATGTAATAGTTAAAGAAATTGTAATTTTTTTTTATTAACCTGGATATCTAATTCGCTTTACGAGTTGACTAATTATATGACAACTACCTGTTTTACAGATAGATCGAAGTCATCGTATTTGAACCTCTGTAGCCACAAGAAGATTTTTGTTCATTCTTGGATTTGAAGCTGAGACATCCTGAAATTGCAATCTTTGTTATCATGGTTTGCAATTTATTATTAGTTTTTGTTTCTGAACTAATTCATACATTTAAGTACAACGGATCAAAACAGTAAAGAATTATAAACCCTAAGGACCAAAACAATGATGACTTGTGATTGTATGGACAAAAGGTAACAATTAGTTACAAATTACAAGGATGAAAATTACAATCTCTAAACAACAGAGACAAAGATCGTTGCTAATACCCCGTAAGCTGAGGAGCAAAAGGACGAATTTGTCCGAGTATGGGCTTGCGTCTGATTAGCTAGTTGGTCCGAGAGGATGACCAACCACACTAGGACTGAGACATGACCTAGACTCTTACGGAAGGCAGCTGTGGGGAAATTTTTGCAACAAGTAGTGTTCGATTGATTACATATTGATCAATATTCGATTGATTACATATTGATCAATATTCGATTGATTGGTCTGAGGTTATMGACAAAAAAGATTTGTCTAAGCYACTTCGTTTCTTTTTGTCCAAGTTGCTTCTTTTTTTGTCTAACTCACTTCCTTTTTTGTTTGTCAGTTTCGGGAATATCCCCATTCATAGGTCCGCGATCTACATCTATGAATTGAAAGGTCCAAATGAACCACAGTTTTTAGAATCAATTTTATCGTCAGTTTCTCGTCATGTCATGTTATATCATTTTACATTTATTAACTAGTTTATCAACTGGTTTTTGTCAAACATGATTAATTTATCAACTAACAGTTAACTTATCAAGTGATCCACTAACTTATCAGCTAACATCTAGCTTCCATAAAACTAGCCGATAAATACATTGAAATACAAGAAAGGTGTTGAATGCTAGAATACCCCACAAACGTATACGTTCACATACAGTGTTTCACGATATGAAACAACACATGACCAGTGTTCTCATGAATCTCAGACTTTTTAGAGAATCTTTATGATCATATATCTATTTCTTGATCTTTCTACTATTCTTCTTAGGCCCATAAACCTCCATTCTACCAACACAACACCCACATCTGGCTCGAAAAACGAGCACGGCTCGTCCATTAGCCGGAGCCATCTTCTTCAACTCGGCTTCTAATTCCCTACAATATTCCCTTGGCAACTCGAACAATCCCTTCTTTAATGCATACTTACCATAATTCCAATTCTTGACACAGTCTTCTGTTTCAAGCTGAATATCAAATTCGGCTGGCTTCTGCAAGCCACGACAATCCGGCTTGCCACATTTATAAATTGGGAACAGTGTAACGGCTAAAACTCCGATTGAAATGGTTAAGATGGTGAATACTAAAAAACCATAAATCAATGGAGAATTCAAAGCTTCTTGTTGAAATAAACGGATGATTGGTTCAAGGATTTCTAGGATTTTGGATCGTAAGAGGATTAGATAGGGATAAATCAGAAATCCACAAGCACAAATTACGACGATTAAAATGATCAAATCGATGAAAGCCGATCGAGATTGTTGTCAATCCGAAATCGGTGAGTTTTTAGACACTTTGTTCGATGGGTTCATGTGTTGGTGGATCGGAACTGTCACCATTTTGATTAACAATTACGAAAGAAACTAAATCGGAAATCGATCGAACGCTATAAAAACCAGTTGAAACCACGAATTAAATTCGACGAAATTGAATCGAATTCAAATCATTCCGAGTTCGAAAAACCGATAAAAATGAAACGCAAGTAACAGATTTCACCTGAAAATGAAGATTTGACGGTGGTCGTTGAAGGAAATCATCAAATCAACGAGATATATGTACAATTACTCGAATCTTTCGATCGAGAATCGAATGAAGATGACTGAGACAGATTAAAGAGGTTTTTTGAAGAGATTGTAGATGAGATTGTGGTGAATTGAGTGGTATAAGAAGTGCGATTATGGAGGGATTGGATAGTCGCAGACGTTAAGTAAGGAGCAAAACGCCATAGCTGCTGCTCTGCTGCTGCGAATGTTGGAGGTGTAGACGTGTGTAATTGTGTTATTCTCCGAGTGGGCTGAAACGATATATATATATATATATAGACAGGGGAGCGATCAAATGCAAACCATTCAATTTATACAAACCGTATTCAACCAATCATAATTTTTCATTTTGTTCATTTTTTTGTAATTATGAGAGGTTGATTAATCATTTTTATTGTGGAGGGTGTTAATCATAGATATTATCATCTTCATTATTTTAATTTTADAGAAATACATGAAACAGTTTCATTAATGTTAGAGAAATACATGAAACAGTTTYATTAAGTATTATATGAAACAATTTCACAACCATATATGAAACAACTTCATCAAAAAAAGTATTATATGAAACAATTTCACAAGATTAAACAATTTCATGAAAAATTTTCATAAGATTAAACAATGAAATCGACAGATGAAGGTGGTTTGCACGGTTTACACAAATGAAGGCGGTTTTCATATGATCACTCATATATATATATATATATATATATATATATATATATATTATATGTGGGCCCTACACTATTTATACAATTTTTATTTTTAATATAAATAAAAATTTATTTTAATATAGAATTAGATTATTCTCGTCAGCTAAAAATATATGAAACCTCTGTATTACTGGATGAAAGACCTCATCTGAGTAACCTATTTGCACCCTGTACTGGTACCATCAGTTTGCATCTGGCTATTCCACTTCATATATCCGATCTGACGAACTGTATACCTTCAATATCGACTCTGAGGTTGACTCAGATCTTGTTTTCGGAGATGAGTATGGGTGGGCTTTCAGCTATTCTTAATCTATATTGTATTGTGTTAACCAAATCAACAACGTTTGAGCCAGGTAAATTACCAACTAAATAGGCGACTCACCATCCCCTGAAATACCCAACCTGGTAAATTATGACGGTTTTCAAGGCCAAATCTTTCAACCGCTCAGACATCCAACCCCCTTCGCGCTTCGCCTGCCCTATTTATCCGCGCGTTGGCGGGTAGGCTAAAACTACAACCAACAGGGTGGAAGTTGTGTCTTTACAGTAACTCTCCTCTAATAACGTATGTCGTCCTCCTCTATGTGTCTATAACTTAGGATTCTGTTGGAGCCGTGCTAAACGGCCCCCAAGTTTAGTTAATGCGGAAATCTAAAAAGCCCCCTTCAATGAAGGCTGATACTAGAAACATATTTTCTTGTCATGTTTAGAGGGGCAAGATAAGTACAAATTGTCCTGTGTGTCGAGTCCATGGACTCTAAGATTGCTTTAATTCGGTGGGTAAGGAGATAGATATACTTATCGAATACGAAACTTAATTCGTGTTTATGTAGCGGTTGGAACTAGACAGGGTTGGAGAGACGAGAATGAGGTTGGCAAACGAGAGAATTGCAGAAGGTTATGAGGTTTTAATTTGACATAAGTAATTTACTGATTTATCAATCTTATCGTATCTTTCTGATTTGTGTTCACCTATTTTGGTGGAAAAAAAATTATATACTTTTTGTTTATCTCGATTATTATGTCCCAAGCTATAGATTTTTTAAAGTTGATTCCTCAAAATAAGCAGTAAAACAAAGTGGATTTCATTTTAATTCAATTTACGCTTATTTAAATTACTAGAAGGGTACTCGCGCAATGCAACGAGATACATCTTGATTTTAATATTTTATTTTATTCTTTATCTCAATCGATGTTATAATATGGTCTTATTTGATTTAAAAAAAACGATGATGTTTTTATTTTTCAATAAAATATAAATTTGAAGATATCATAAAAATTTGACAAAAATATATCAATATTTGTATCAAATTAATTATTTAAAATTCCTCATTTTTTATGTAATTTTTTAATTCATTTTTTTATTATAATTTAATTTAGGTTAAATAACGAAGTAATTTATATTTGRTTTAATAATATAATTTTCTTATAAAGATAATAATTAATTATTTTGTTAGAACTCGATAATTATCCTAATTATATATTAGATTTTTAATATTTTAAAATGAAATGTTTATCCTTCATGTGATTATATATATCTATAGTTAGTTAGACGAATTCAAACATTGAGCTTTAATAAGTTGTACTTATACATAATTACTTGTAATCTTGAGTTTTAAGTAATGTGCATCAATATACAATACTTCATGCATAAAAAAAATGATTTTTAAGAGTTTTTGTCAAATGCTTTATAATATAGTATAGATATCATGCTGATATTTCTAACTCTGTTATCATGTTCCTTTTTTTATTAACTTGGATATTCAATCTATTATGCAAACTGACATATTAACAACAAACAATAGAAATTCCCATTAAACGTTTTGACGTAAGTCTGTGTTTTTTCTTGCAGAATTTCAAATTTTCAAACGAAAAATATAACACGTAAACTGATTTCGTCAGTTTAGCAGATCGTTGAAGCGAAAAAGGAAAAGAAAGAAAGTAGAAGTCAAGTCTCATGAATTATGACATGTGACTTCTTTTCAAACCTTATAAAGGTTTTGATGATAATGGATTAAGGAAGTTTCAAGAATTTTAGAGCATTTTTAACAGATATTTTAAAAAGAATTTAAATTTTAAATTTTTTAAAAAGAATGTATTCAACTTCAAGAGTTTTTTATTGAGCAAATTGTATGAAAAAGTAACGTACTTTAACTTGAATTTTATTTTGGGTAACGTACTTTTAAAACTTTCATTTGGGTACTTAAGATGTAAAATTTTAAACATTTAAGTACTCGGGTAACCAGTTGAAGACTAATTTTAGATTAAAAATTTATATCACTAACCACGTCAGCAAATAATACTGAGTTGGATACCACATCACTGGCCACATCAGCATGATAACCGGTTAATGTTTCAACCGGTTACCAGGATATTTAAATGTTTAAAACTTTACATTTTATGTACCAAAATGAAAGTTTTTAAAGTACGTTACCAAAAATAATAATAAAGTTAAAGTACGTTAATTTTTCAAGCAATTTACACTTTTCTACTTTTTGAAAATTATAACATTAATTATATTATTAAAAGATTTCGTACATTTAATAAAATAGTATTATTTTCTTCAAAATATTTAATTTTAAAGTTTCTTACGAAGAAATATAATAAAAAAATTATTTATCATTTATGATAATTATTTTTGCGTGTTCTCTAGAAGGATTTTACATACGCTCTAATATTTTTTATTTAAAAGAATATTCAAAATCTCTATTTTAACATAGTTGTTGAATATAATATTATACATGTTATTTTAAATTAATTTTTAGAGTAGAACGTTGGGTAATTGACCAGCATCTTCTTAAATCGAAACGTGGTGTTCGCTGCTACGCTATAAAAAAATAAGTTGCGCTTTCTCCACCAGCAATTGCTTTAGGCGTAGTGGTAAGTGCTTGGATCTATTGATTTGTGTCAGGGGCGGACCTACAAAGTCCCCAACGGGTCTCGTACACCCATTTAATCAATTTTTAGAAACACAATTTTTTTGTACGTTAAAATTTAAGGGGTATTTCCAGATATTTTACAAGGGATATCAACTAAAAAACCGAAAAACTCTCGAACTTAACCAAAAAAACAAAAAAAAAAATCTGTAAATCAATAAAAAAAACCCCGAAAACAATCTCTCAAAAGCACCCAAAAAAACTCAAAGAAATCACCTGAAACAATGGAATTCAGGTAAAAAATATCGGACAACTTTACAAACAATGAAAAGCAGGGACGGACCCAGAATTTTTTTCAAACGGTAGCACCATTTGACTATAAGAAAAAAACTATAAGGAAAAAATTTCAAACGGTGGCACCGTTTGACTATAAAAAACCAAATATACATAAAAAAAATTGAAACGGTGACACCGTTTGACTAAGAAAATAACAATAACATGATTCGAACTTGGGTTTGGGGTGAAATAAAAGTCTTGCAAACCAACTCTACCATATAAAACTTGTTCTCATTGTAGTTTCAAAATACATACGGTGACGCACAACAGATTAATACGGTTGCATCTTTCACGAACCTAAAATTTTTTTACTCTTCGATGGAGGAATAATACGGTAGCACATGCCACCATTTGCACCACTACAGGTCCGTCCATGCTTAAAGGTGTAACCGTTCGACAAAAATCCTAATTTCGTCGCTGATTTGTGTTGCCCCGTGAGTGTATATCGTTTTTACAAAGTACAATCTCCATGATTATATCCGGTTTTTCTGGGGTTTTTTTTAATAATTACTAGTTATTCGTTTCTATCTAAAAATTAAATTTACAACCGCAGCATTTTGCGTATTTTATATTTTTCATTTCAATAAAATCAGGTTTATAAGACGTTAAATCTATACTATATTATAAAACATTTGACAAAAAAACTCTTACAAACCATTTTTTATGCATTAAGTACTGTTTATTGATGTATATTACTTAAAATTCAAGATTACAAGTAAATTATGCGTAACGACAACTTGTTAAATCTTCATTTGAGTTTTTGTAACCAACTACACATAAACATAATCAAATACATGATAAAACATTTTATTTTATATATAAAAAATCTAAAATATAATTAAGATAATTATTGAGTTCTAACGGAACACTTAATCATATTCTTACGAAAATTGATACTATTAAAACGAAATAAATTACTTTGTTATTAAATCTAAATTAAATTATAATAAAAGTTTGAATTATAGAAATTACACAAAAGACGTGAACTTTTAAACAGTTAATTTGATACTAATATCAATATATTTTTTCAAATTCTTATGAGATATTCGAATTTGTATTTCATTCAAACATAAAAACATTATTGTTTTATCAAAACCATATTATAATATCAACATAGACAAGATGTAAAACGGAACATTAAAATCAAGATGTATCACGGTGCATTACACAAGTACCCTTCTAGTATGTCTAAATGTTCTAATAATAGATTGTTTTATAATTATTAAGTTTATAAGAGCAAATAATTGCGCATCTTATGTAAAAATGTTACAATGACTTTATATAACGTTTTTTACGTCATAACAAGTTTTTTAAAACACTTCTGAAATAAAGTATCATATTAACTTTTTGTATAACACATTTTTTTAGAGTGTCGTATGAACACATGTTTTTTATCAAACACTTTTTAAATAATTACATATAAAAAGGCGAACATGATGTTTTATTTCAAAAATGTCTTAAAAAACTTGTTACAATGGTAAAAAATATGTTTTTATCAACCACTTTTTCAATTAATATAATATAATAAACAAATATGACGTAAAATAAAATAGCATATTATTTATTTTATGCGACACTATTTGAAAAAATGTTCTATAAAAAGATGGGTTTATGAGACATTTTTTTAAAAGTGTCATATAAATAGTTAATACGACTTTTTATTTTATAAATGTTTTGAAAAACCTTGTTAAAATACTCAAAAGCGTTCTATAAACCTATTGTAACACTTTTAAACATGGTCTTCAGAAATATGGTTCTATAAGCTTAAGTTTTATAAAGTATTCAATTAGAACGCTTTGATATTTTAGACATCCTATAAAGCCAATTTTATTGTAGTCTGTCAGTCTTTAATACAATTTCAAAGTCTTTATACAAGAATGATTTCACTGTTATTTAAAAACACGCGTAGGAAAACCAGAAGAGACATAATTCAACAAAATGTATCTTCCATAAACTTCACAAACTCATCAAAATCTATTCTACCATCATCATCATCATCAAACATTCTTATCATCTTCTTGCAATCATCCATGGATGCTCCATCCTTCATCCCCAGAGCAAACAAAACTCTCTGCAATTCTTTTTCGTCAATAAACCCGTCTTCATTCTCATCAAAAACATCAAAAGCACCCTTTACCTCATCCAATCTCGGCCTTTCTTCTTCAAACATGTTAAACAGGTCGTTAGAATTCAAACTCTCCACCAGTTTCTCGCCTTTAAAATGACAAAAGATTCCAAGATTCTCCATCACCAGCTCCACCTCATCTTTCTGTATGCTTCTGTCTGCGAAGGAAGACACCCTTTTGGACGATATGGAATCTTGATTCTTCTTATGGACCTGAATCTTGGAGTCGGTTGAGAAAAACCCGAGTTGGGAATTGATGAAGCATATCATTTGCAAGAAGTATCGGATGAATTCAACTATCATGAACGTCATGATACTGATTTTTGACGTTCTTTTTACTGAAATTAAACAAATATAATGAATGTTAGTAAAGTGAGAAAGGGGTTTTGAGTTTGAGTGCATAAATAATGGAGGATGTGTGGGTTTTATAAGCAACAAGTAAAGGGATTGTTTGTGTGTGTTTTTGGGAAGAAATGATGGTTTGAATTGGAAAATTAGATGAAGTTTCTTGATTGTTTCATTATATACCTTTGTTTTTTCTTTAGTAAATGGTGTTGACCTACCTTGACCATTTACCACAAACTTCTATTCAAATTGTATTTATACTGATAAATTAACTGTTAGCTGTTGATTAATAATTTAGAGGATAAAACAAATTATGTTCGGTAAATCAGTTTTAAAAAGTATTAGGACATAATTGGAAAAAAAAAAGGTAAAACATATTGAAACACTACTTCAAGTAATGAATAAAAAGTACAACTTATAAGTTGGTTTATGACTTACTGTAACGGTTTTTGTTTTTGATTAACCTGGATATTCAACCTATTATACAAGCCAACTAATCCTAGGACAACCAACTGCTTTGTAGGTAGCTTGGAGTCACCACAGTGGTCACAAGGGAGTTTTTTTTTCCTCCTTGGATTTGAACGTGAGACCTCCAGACGCTTTTGACCTTTGGAGCCCAAGCTCAAACCAATCATGTGCCACATTTATGGTTATGTATCAGGTTTTTTCAACAAACATAAAAATAAGGGTACTTTACGGTTACCAAATAGGCAAATATGGCCTGAAACATGCATTTTAAAAGCGTTTAGACGTGTTATAAAAAGTACTTATAACGACTTTATAAATCAAAATAATCAGGTTTGTAGTGCTTCACTTTATTTTTTTTTTTTTAAAACCAGTAAATACGTGTTGCACTGAAACTGATATTCTAAAATAAATATAAAATTACCTTACTATTGATTTAATTTTAGTTAACTGATTATTAATCTTATTACAAGTTTTTAAAATCGTAATCGTTATTTTGAAAAATACATTCAAATAATATCTTAACAGTATTTTAAAATATATATTTTACATATCTAAAATACATATCTTAAAACATAATTTATAGAATTAATAGTGAAGTAGATACTTGTACCAAACAAATATTGATTTGGTTGCCTAACTTCATGGAAGGGATAAAGAAAAACAAGTCCTGGTCTTCTTTATGCTTTTGCTATGAAGTTTCCTTTTTTTCTTCTTCCCACCAACTCACTTTATAAAGTTATTACTGGTTTTTCTATTAATCCTGATATCCAACCCGTTATATGAGCCGACTAATCCTAGAGCGATCATCTGCTTTACGGGCATCGCATTTGAACCTCCGTGGTCACAAGGGGGTTTTTATTTCTCCTTCGATTTGAACCTGGGACCTCCAAACACTTTTGACCTTTTGAGCTCAAGCTCAAATTAATCAGACACCACCCTTATGGTTTAAAGTCGATTTAAAAAATATATACTAACTGTTTTAAAACATGCATCTTCAACAGATACTAATTTTTGTTGAAGCATATACTCGGGGTGAATGTAAGGCTAGGGTTAGATGCCCTTTGCGAAGGCCAATGTCGCCCATGCCCAGGACCAACCCTGATGGTTTTTAAGAGTATTTGTCAAATGTTTTATAATATAGTATGGATTAATACAATTTTGAAGAACGATAACAATAAAACATTAATAAGTAATACTAACTGTTTCATAATTGTTAGTTGATTATTTGTTAATTTTATAAAGTTTAAGAGGTTTCACATGCACAAGTTTTATTTTTACTATTAGAAGGATACCCTTATAATGCAGTAATATACATTTCGATTTTAATGTTTTATTTATTCTGTCTTTGTTGATATAACACAATTTTATGTGGTTTTAAGAATACAATAATGTTTTTATTTTTTAATAAAATATAAATTTGAAAATATCATAAAATTTTGAAAAAAAATATATATCATACCAAATTAACTATATACAAGTTTTCATTTTTTTTTTGTAATTTCTTTAATTCGTTTTTTTAATCATAAATTAATAATGAAGTAATTTATTTTTGGTTTAATAATATAAATTTTTATAAAGATAATAATTAAATTTTCTATTAGAACTCAATAATTATCCTAATTATATTTTTAGATTTTTTTGTATTTAAATTAATTCCGCATTTAATTATGTTTATATGCAATTATTTAAATGGACTAAAAAATGAAGATTTAATTAGTTGTACTTACGCACTATTTACTTGAGATCTTGAATTTTAAGTAATATGAATCAATAAACAATACTTAATTCATAAAAAATGTTTTTAAGGGTTTTTTGTCAAATGTTTTATAATATAGTGTAGATTATAATATTTGGATTTGTAAAAACAAATTTTATAAAAATATATTATTTATGATTTCCAATAACCATTACATATTATATGAATAAAAATAAAAAAAGTTTACCTTACATATCCTAATTAATTAATAATTTTTCACAAAATATATTCCGTAATTAAATTAAATATTTTATTAAAATTATTTAATACATTTTTATTATCTATGAAACAAAATAAATATAAATTTTATTTTAATTTTTATGTTACATAAACATTGTTAAAACTGTTATATTTATGTTTTTATAACTAAATATATTGAATATTAGTTTAAAAAAATGATAATATGAAAACAATTGATGTGATTAATAGCTATTGTAAATAATATTAATGTATAATATAAAATTAAAATTAATTAAAATCAATTAATATTTATTAACAATTAATATTAGTAATATTTAAAATTTAGTAATATCTATTTATAATTAAATAATAATTAATATTAATGAGAGTTATAATTGTAAAAAATGACAATAAGCTACTAAAACGTTACTTCAAATAGCATTTCAATAAGCTAGCTTATGTGCATCCAAACATGTACTACCTAGAAAATAAACTAGCTTATTTTTGCCAAACAATATCTAAACGTCTATTATACATTTGATCCTTTTCTTCGGTAATTGCACCACAAACCTCTTATTTTACATACAATAAACCCATTAACACATTAACTGCAAAAAATTGTAACTGAATTATAAAACGACCAGATCTATCAAAACTAGTCATTCGACCAGATTTCCAAGATCCTAAACACTCAAGCTTCGCATACACCATTAAAACCTCCTATTCAATCGAATTTCTCCAAGATATTAACACTTGGTAACAACACATCTTGTTAAAACAAGCATCCAGACCAATTTCCAACGTATTAACGCTGGGAGTTGAGTTGGATCCAGTAAAGCTACAACATTTTCTTTAAACGCCATTAATCAGTGTCGAAAATCTACTTTCAAGGGTTTTTATCGAAATTGCCCTCCAGAAAACGTTTGACCAAAAGCCCAACCATGAGGGGCAACGTTATATGAAACCACACTCCGACCATCACTGGTGGTGACCTTAAAAGATAGGCTTTGTCCGTTTAGGTAGCTGTTACTTTGCCAATTTTGCCCCCAGTTTCTTGACATTGCTTGCCATCTGGTTTTCGAGCCTTTTATGTACGCATGTCTCACATCCCCTGCACCCCCTACGTTTGTGATCAGCACCAAATTGAAGTAGGAGTGCCCGTTCACTGCAAACCTGATGCCGCCCCTTTTTCTGCAAGGTACCCTACATCACAAGGTCAAAAATGTCATTTCACATTTCCTAGGTAATAGTTGCTTAATTAAAAGGGAATTGATCTTCATTGTTGTGATAAATTTTATTTTGGGCTTTCAGAACAAGGGTAAAATGGGAAACTTCAAAATGTTTGGGCAAAAGTGTTCATTGTTTTCAAGCATGATATCCTTTGTTCTGGATTTTTGCAAGCATAGGGGATGTTCCGAAACAAATTGTCACGTATAATAGTTATGTAGAATGACAAAAATACCCTTAATATACATGTATGTTATGTGAAAAAGACGAAACTATCCTTGATGGTTGCCACACTTCGAAGCTAACCGGACAACCACCATTTATGAAAATGAAAATATAAAAAAAAAATTATAAAATAAATAAAAATAATATTTTAAAATGATTATAAAATAAAGATTGTAAGAACAAGAAGATATGGACTAAAAAATGTATTCACGAAAAAGAGTTTTTACTTAGGTGCTCAATGTAGAATGACGAAACTACCCCTGACAAGGTCATGCATGGATTGTCAAAAAGACGAAACTATCCTCGACAACAAGCTTGATAGTGGTATTTGATGTGAAAGGACAACATTACCCTTCATATCAACTCTTGCCATCCAGCCATGCATTAGATATGTTTAATACCATGTGAAGCAGAAAAAGACAAAAATACCCTTGACAGTCGACAACATCGTTCATAAATCATACTTCAAAGGTGCCAACAAGCCAAACCCCTTGAAAAATGCTTGTTATCATGAAGCCATGCATGTACGTCAAAAGACGATATTACCCTTGACAACAGTTTATTATTACGTCCTAACGTATAATCATTTACAAACCCAATAAATCGTACAAACTTACAAACCAATTTGTTTCGTATATGAAACAAGTGTTAAAATGCAGTGTTTATACAATGTTGTTCCATATGTTAAACGTTCAAGACTGTTTGTGTACGGCAAAAAAACAGTCACAAATGAAAATTGTTTTCTCCCCTTATCTCATATTTTTATTTGAGTTTGTCTTTAAAATTTGTCTATTTTCCATCTCAAAAAAAAATAACTGATATATTATGAAGGGTAAAATTGTCATTTAGTTAATTAATTAAAAAATATAATTAACGACTACCCATTACTAAAACTATCTGGCTTTTTCACTATAGACATTTATTTTAAGACGGAGAAGTATGAAATGACAGAATTACCCTTGCCAACTTGACCTACCACGTTTATTTTATGACAGATGGAATATAAGATGACAGAGTTACCCTTGCCAACATGACCTACGGCATTTATTTCAGAACGGAGGAAGTTTAAAATGACGGAATTACCCTCACCAACATGACCTACGACATTTATTTTAAGACGAATGAAGTATAAATATACGAAATTACCCTTGCCAACGTAAACCCTACCTCCGATAAGAAACCGGAACGATTCCGGCACGGTACCGAGCAATGTGAAGGAACACCGGCTGAGATAAGTCAAAATGAGCATTGGGGGGGTCACACCACCCTCCGGGCGGGCAGAAATTGGTGGCGGTGACCACTATCGTTCCGGCAAGGCACCAGCGTGGATCATTCACACATCTAAGCTCATAACAAGCTCCACAGCTTAATCCATTGTTAAACAAACTTGTACTTAACGCAGCTGTATTTGTACCATACCCTTGACTGTACAAATTCCCATACCCACAAGCCCCACCTACAAAATTCAATTTCAAATCAAACGAAATCGAAACCAAAATCGAACGAAAAATCCACAGATCTGGTACTTACCCATGGTGCCGGAAGCATCACCGCCGCCGTAGAAGGTGGCGTGAGCGTTTCTCCACGGCGTTACATAATAGCAATCAACCAAAGCAATCGCCGCCAGAAAACACATTACGAAAACCCCAATCGCACCCATAAGTGATTCCGGCGACGAATAAGCTAAAACTTGAACAAATTAGATGCGATTTTGACGATTTTGATCGGAATTTGGATGAATAAATAGAGGATTTCTGTGAGATATGAACGAATTTTGGAAAGCAAAAAGGGGGCATGTGTCATTCAGAAGAGCTCACGAGATTGACAGATTTCACCGGTTGCTAGGGAACCATTTTAATGATGAAATTGACGCACTGTTTTTCTGAAAAGAATTCAGAATTTAATTTGGGGTTATTATGTTCAACTGCATGAATGAGGGTTCATATGGGTTCTACAAGTTCTAACGGTAAATAAAAGAAAGTGACCCTCAACTATTTTGATTAGTCAAAATTAGTCCTTAAAATATGGAAATATGTATCTTTTAACCTTTAGTTGAAAATAATTGATCAATATTGGGTTATACAATATGCAAAAGAACCAATTAAGTTATTGAGTTCGTTCTGCCAATCCATCGTTGAGCTTTATCTGATATTAGTCTTGAAATTTGGGTTTGTACCAGTCATTTAGTACATAAGTTATTAATTTGAACCACAAAGGTGGTGCCTGATTGGTTTGAACTTGGCTCCAAAAGTCAAAAGTACCAGGAGGTCTCAGGTTCAAATGCAAGAAGAAATAAAAATTCTCTTGTGGCCACAGAGGTTCAAATGCGGTGACTCCAGACTATCTGCAAAACAGATGGTCGCCCTGGGATTAGTCGGCTCGCATAGCGGGTTGGATATCCAGGTTAATAAAAAAAGTTATTAATTTGTCCTGGTTATTCCTTTTTACTTCTTTTGGAATTACAGAATACACACATGTATATAAATGTCTTTTGAAAGTTAAAGAAAATAATCCCAACAAATTAGGTTTCTTATAATTACCCTTAAACTAGTAATTATGAGGGGGTAGAAATGTAATTCTACAAGTTCCAAGAAAAGCATAATCAATTCTCAATGAAAAATGTTGGATTGATCAAGCTTTTGGGCCTTGATCGGACCCCGTTATGATCCTTTCTGTAAGTTAGTCGGGTTAGTCATGATTCTCATATCCATTTGTGCATCTCTATCTATGATAGTGTGGACTGTAGGGATGCTCATCCTGTTGTGTAACACGCCTACATCGCAACAAACTAACTATGCAGTTTAAAACCTTATGTTCTTTGAAGTTTTCACCTTTGACTGTTTTCCCACTTCTTGACTCAAGCTTTGGCTCTCGTGCCAAGTCATCTGTTATGTAGTCATGAAAACCCAACCTTTGACTCCGTCTCGTCTTTTTTCTCGTGACTAGTCCTCTATATACTCCATTTTTTCATACATAACTTTTATATGCAGAAGACAGAAAATACAGTGCAACGTTTGCAGTTTAAGGCATATGTGTTTTTGTTTGTGATTTGAAAAAAACTTTAACCACATATACAGTTTGGTTCGTGGTTTTTAAAAATAAAACCGCTCTGCAAACACCTTTATAACACTACATATTCAATTCAAAAAATTAACCTGAATCCGTATGCCCTATGCACCTTGTAAAGAGTAGAGAAATACCAGGGTGAGTGATGTAATAAAATGAAACTACAGGATGTGAAATGTAAATTTTGAATAGTTGTGTATTACAATGAAAATTGAAGACCATCAATTTTGATGTATTTGCAGTTTTACCCCCTTGTAAATTTGGAAAATGGAAGCCAGCTTTTTTTTTTTTCATATTGCACAAAGTGAAACGGGTCGGGTGTCTCCATCTATGACCCACTTCATGTCGGATAATGGAATCACACTCGGTTCCAACTTCCAAATATGGATCGAAAATTAATTGCGTAAACCAGTCGAGGTTTTAACGAGCGATTTGAGCTCGAGATAATAATTATCAAGCTCGAGTCGAACTTGAACACAAAATAAAGTTCGTTTAAACCACAAGGGTGGTGCCTGATTGATTTGAGCTTGACTCCAAAAGTTAAAAGTACCAGGAGGTCCCAGGTTCAAATCCAAGGAGGAATAAAAATCCCCTTGTGACCACGGAGGTTCAAATGCGGTGACTTCGGGCTATCTGCAAAGCAGGTGGTCGCCCTGGGATTAGTCGGCTCGCATAGCGGGTTGGATATCCAGGTTAATAAAAAAAAGTACGTTTAACTTAACGAGTCAAACTCTAGAACACCAATGTTCGACTCGACTCGACTCGTTCGAAAGTTCGAGTAAACTTTACGAGCCGAATCATTCGACCATACACTTTTTCGAGGTAAGCATATTTACGAATTATATGATCAAAATATCAAAAAAATCGAGTTTGAGTAAATAAACGAGTTAATCGATCTTAAATTCAAGCTCGTAAACGAGCATCGAGCTCGAGTTCAAACATTGAAAAAAATATTTGAGCTCGAGCCCGATTTTGAAAAAGTTAATCGAGCTCAAGTTGACCTGCTACTCGACTCGACTCGTTTACACCCTTACGTAGAACATAATGGAATATAAATTTGGTACGATATTATTTTGTGACATGACGTGATTGAACAGGAAATAAATAATTGTGGGATTGAACGGGACATAAATAATTGTTTCTACAAAAGAGGCGAAACAGAAACCAGAACAATAAAACAAGATTGATAAATTACTAAACTAATAAGGTGAAATTAAAACCCTGAAACTTTATACAGTTATTTCATGCGTCTATCTCACTCTTGCTTTTCTAGTCTGTTTATATGAATTAATCTGTCTGTATAGATGGAGTGAACATGTTTTTATTGATAGGGAGGGGGAGACCCCTCCAGATCAAGATAAAACACTAAAACGCTAAAACAGCAACAATGAAGCTCTCAGGTAGGAGGAAACCTCAACTACCAGAATCCAAGGCACCCCGAGGGGAAAGAAAGAGGGAGACAAAGAAGAAGAAAGACGAGAAAAGAGGGAAAAGGAGAGAAAGAAGAAAGGGAGAAGAAGAGAAGAGGGAAATAGAAGAAGAGAGAGAGGAAGAGGGAGAGAGAGAAAGAGAAAGAAGCCGACCACAAGGGAAGGGCCCAGCCAAACCAAGACTGGGAAGCAACGGGGAACACCACAAGGGCAGGAAAAGGGGCCTAAAACAGGCACACCCTAGACCGCACCAAGAACAACAAGAGAACAAAGGAGCTCACACAAACAGAGAGACAACACAAACAGCTACGGGAGGTTCCAGGCAAGCCGAGTCCGGACAACATTGGGGGAGGGCTTAAAGGTCAGGCTAAGGAGCTTGGACCAGACATCATCAGTAATTGTCTTACCCACCGTAATATGCGATCTTTTTTTGCTTTTGAATATGCGATTATTTCTTTCTTGCCACAGGTGGTAGACGGTCCCAGCAAGCACTAAGCGACAAATGATAGACCATATGGTCTTTCCTTTGGTGACTTGCTGGAACATACCAATAATATCAACCCAATTATCCGGGACACCATTGAGGTTCAACTTGGCTTTTAAACCATTCCAGACCAGATTAGAGAACGGACACTCAAAGAAAAGATGCGAATGCAAATCAGGCCCATTCTAACAGAACGCACAGGACAGGTCGGAATGGGCCTCCCAGAACCGAAGTTTATCGTGCGTCTTGAGACGCTGCTTGAGAGCAACCCACAGAATGAAGGCATGTCTGGGGATGCTTTGAGAGAACCAGACTAAATGATGTCAGTAGACATCAGGCTCATTGGGACGGAGGGATAGCCACACCTCATGAACAGATAAAGGAGTGAGACGGCCACCCCTAGTTCTCCAGAGGAGCTTAATAGAAAGGGATTTCTGCATAAAGCTTACTCCTAGAAGCTTGCTGAATAAGTCACTTCCTGTATCATTAAGACACTATTAAAAAGTCGTGTATAGTTAACAGAACAAACTTTGAGTCATATTAATCTCATTAAACCTACAACAAACAGACATTTAATTAAGTTGGTTTAAATTTTATTTTTAATTTATATTTGAAAAATAATTTTTGTTTCAAATGAATAATGTTTTGTTATATTATAAAGAACAAATTGCATAAAAAAATAACGTACTTTAACTTGATTCATGTTTTGCATAACGTACTTTCAAAACTTTCATTTTGATATCTAAGTTGTAAAGTTTTAAACATTTAAGTACATAGGTAACCGTTTGAAACATTAATCGATTACCATGTTGATGTGGACGAGTGATGTGGTATCTGGTTAATGCTTCATCGAATAATACTGAGTTAGATACCACATCACTCGCCACATCAATATGGTAACCGGTTAATATTTCAACCAATTACGTTTCCTAAACACATGAATCGAGTTAAAATACGTTATTTTTTTCATACAATTTATTTTATTATAAAATTATTAAATAATTATCAAAAATTATCCTAGCGGATATTTGTTATCAAATATTTATATTTTAATAAATATAATAATTAATTTATAAAAATAAAAAGATAAAGGGGGTAAAAGTGGAAATATGGGAGGGACAAATAGTCTTTTCAGGTTGTTTAGTGCATGGGGTATGCAATTGGCTGTCCGTCACTACGAGTCGTATCTGTCGGTGGCTATCCTTCTCTTCACATTTGCATTTTAGCTGAATGATTTGATGTATAATAATTAAAATAAATTTATAATATAGTATAAAATAAAATATAATTGTTTGGTAATTATTTACAATGAAATTAAAATGTTGAATGGTTAAGGACGGACTAGGATACAAAATCATTCAAAAGATTTTAGAATTATTAAGAGACAAATTTTTTTTTGTCAAACAAGATTTACCTCTTAACGAAACTATTAAGGTGGGAAAAAGTTAATAGGTTAGTTGTTAACTGATAAATTAATTATTAACTTAAATGTAGAGATTTATTTATAAAAGCCTCAATAAAGTCCCGTCTACCTGTTCAATCAATTTTCGTAAGTACATTTTTTTTGTGTACGAAAGACGCGTACGCTAAATTTCAAGAGGCGATCTCGAAAATACAAGAGACGTAAATAAAAAATTGAAAAAATCAACAGAAAAATCAAAAAATTTCATCAGAATCAACCAAAAAGCTTAAAAAATTACTCGAAATCAATCAAAAAACTTAAAAATAAAAATTATAATAACATGTTTTCGTTATTATTTTTTTCCTTGAAAAATATGATTATATTATTTTATTAAATCATATTACTTATAATTTCTTAAAGATTGTTTAGCAATTGCTGGATAGTTTGGTGCAGAATAATTAAGTGGTCGGAATGATATAGTGCAAAATGGAATATAATTGTTCGATAATTGTTTACAATGGAATTAGGGTGGTGAATGGTTAAGGTAGGCCCATGATACAAAATCATTCAGAGGGTTTTAGAACCATTAAGAGAGAGACTTTTTTTTGTCAAACAAGATTCACCTCTTAACGATTCAAAAGTTGCATCTTAATGGAACTATTAAGAGGTAAACAAACAGCCCCTTAGAGGTTGTGTTGGCAGTTGCTGAATGGTTTGGTGCAGAATGATTAAGTGCTCGGAATGATTAAGAGGCTCTCATGATATAGTGCAAAATGAAATATAATTGTTTGGTAATCGTTTACAATGAAATTAAGGTGCTGAATGGTTAAGGTATGCTCAGGATACAAAACCATTCAGATGGATTTATAACTATTAAGAGACACACACTTTTTCTTTGCCAAACAAGATTCCTCTTTTAACGATTCAGAGGTAATCTCTTAATGAAACTATTAAGAGGTAAACAAACAACCCCTAATATTTAATTTTATTGTTATGTGATATTTAGTTATAGTATTTTAAACAAATTATTAAATATTAAAGTGATTTAAAAACATAAAATAAATCTTTACCAAATTTAATAAATAATGGAAAAAAAATGATTAGGGACACGATAAATATGGATGATCACCGTTCAAAATTGCTGTTTTCTGTTAGTTTTACCAATTAACCGGAGGTAAAAAGCTTGTATTTTTTTTTTCTTACGGTGGTTCGTTAAGTTAAAGATGGTTAATAACCAGGTTTTGAATCCACTGTTTTACCAAGAAAATGATGTATGTCGTGAATGGTTGAGTACAGGCTTGAGTGCACATGGTCTTTTAGAACCGAACCCCACGATGCGACTTTAGACACCTATTGATCAGCTTTTATGGTAGTCAGTGTGTCAGTGTGTCTGTTTCAGTTGGTTTTTCGTCTATGAAAATGTCTTCTTTTTTATCTGGTTTAAGACTGGAAAATGAACCAGAGTTATGAAGATTTCGTTTTGTAAATGAAAAAGTATTCGTTGATTGAAGTCGATATGTCGTATCCCTCGATGCGAAATCACTGATTTATTGTGCACGTATTAAGTGGCGCAAACTGTGAAGCTCTTTGATCCCTTTACGTATGGTGATACTGCATCGAGTTGATGGAGTGTTGACTTGAAACAGTGGAATTTGTCTAAAAACACATCGGACGACTTTTATGGGCTTTTGATCAACTTTAAAGGTACCCTCGCTTGAAAAAAATCATGGGTGTGTACCAACCAGGTTTTCATTACATAGTACAACAGGGAAAATGTGGGAAATAGCAATCTACTTATACAAATTTTCTTACTATAACATTGTACTTTTAATTTTTCGTATTATAACAATGTACTTCAAAATATTTTTTATTAGGGCATCGTACTTCTAAAAATTTACCCGTTATAGCATTGGATAACCTTTTAAATTAAATTTACTTATTATACCAGGTTTCTTTGTCACCTCATCGTTCATGTAGGCTGTCCACATGTACGATACTGTTGACATGACATTTCTCATTATAATATTATACTTTCAAAATTACTTTATTATAACATCACAAATTTCTATTACAACATTGTACCTTTAATTCTAATATTTTTATCATTTAAACATTGTAAATTTAATCAAATATGTTTACTAAAAATTATAAGATCATAAGTTAAAATGTTTACAAAAGATCACTATTTCACGAAATAAAATATTCATAAAAAAATGATGTATGAATTGTACACATGTTTTAATTTATGATATAATAATTTCTACCAAACATATTTGATTAAATTTAAAATGTTTAAATGATAAAACTATTAAAACTAAAAATACAACGTTATAATAGAAATTGGTGATGTTATAATAACGTAAATTTAAAAGTACAATGCTATAATAAGAAATGTCATGTTAGCACTATCGTACATGTGGACAGCCTACGTTAATGATAAGGTGGCAAAAAAACCTGGTATAATGGATAAATTTAATTTAAAAGGTTACTCAATGCTATAAGGGATAAATTTTTGAAAATACAATGCTCTAATAAAAAATATTTTAAAAATACATTGTTGTAATAAGAAAAACCGAAAGTATAATACCATGATTAAGAAATTTGTAAAAATAGATTGTTATTTCGGCACATTTTACCCTAGCACAATACTACTAATCGACTTCAATGGGTACCAATTAAACTAGAACAGTTGTAAACATTGTTGATCGATTAAATTGGTACGATTGTAAACATATCGATCCCTACTAGTCCCGAGCCGATTCTAAGCCGGGCCCATTTTAGCCATCTCTAGGTTGGGCCCAACAAACATCTGGAATAGGCCCATTCCAATGTTTTTCTGAGTTGGGTCAAAATTGAATGGGCTAGCCCAACAAATTTCAAGACTAAGATGATGGAAATGAGCCCAATATCAATATGGAGTTGTTGATAGATAGTGGGATTCGAACCTGAAATCGTTATACATTTGAGAATGATATCAGCATATAAAGGCGTATTTAACAAATCATAGATAGTGGTGTATTTAACTTAGGGACCGTTTACCCAAATGCTTACCCGATAAGTGCTTACCGATATGATTCAACATTATAATTTATTTTGATACGTAAGATTTTAGTACATCAAAACATATCGAATGCAACAAGTTACTGGATAAGTGCTTACTTGGGTAAGAGTCGTCATCCTTGCTTATATGGTAAGACTCTCTATCATTTTCATTGCTTTTATCCGGTAAGATTCTTGACCCTTCACATGTTCATCCGATAAGGAAACTTATCCGGTAAACACTTACCAGGTAAGTATTTAATAAACGGCCCCTTAATCCAGATATAAAAATATATTCTCCAAAGATTCCCATTTAACAACTCTCATCATCCATAAACTAAACCCAACAACTCCTCTCACTGCAAAAATACCTCCCAAGAATGTGGAGTTTCCAACTTTCCATTTTTGAAATTGCAAACAACAACTCCTCTTTCTCAAAAAGCACCCAACATGATGGAGTCTCTAACCTTCCATTATTAGAAATGTCAAATGTTATATCCTCAAAATATGGCAAGTGAGGGCAGGTATCATCAATCTACTTCCTTCTGGGCCCCACCATCATCCAAATATTATACATATATCTGCATGTATATATATGTGTGTGTGTGTCTGTGTGTTATATCACCATTTCATGCACTCACCCTAAAACCCTTGATCAATTATACAGGAGAAGTTATAATGATGAAGCTTGGTGTTGCTCCACCTGCAAATAGAGGCATTGGCATACTTGACTTCATCCTCAGGCTTATCGCCATCACCGGAACCCTAGCCGGTGCGATCGCTATGGCTACAACCAATCAAACGCTTCCATTTTTCTCTCGTTTCGTTCGGTTTAGAGCAAAGTTCGACGATCTCCCTTCCTTTGCGTAAGTTTTAGTTACTTGATTTTTAATGTTATGATGTTATATCGAAACCCTTTCTGAGTCTCTCTAAAAGAGCCTTTATAGAGAGATGGGAGGTTCCTATGTATACATACATGTATATATGTATATATGTATACAGGTCGGGTTCAGGGAAAACCACAAGAAAATGAATAAGTGATGAATACCTTGGTAACCGTTTATTTGTAATGGTATATACATGTGCATACAAGTATTTTGTCATGTATTCACATGTGCATGCACAAGTACACGGAAACCAAGAAAGAGTTTCAATTACTTGTATGTATATGTGTATACCATACAGATGACTAGTTACCAAGGTGTTCATCGATTTTTCATTTTTAAGAGGTTTTCCGCGAACCCCTCTCTCTCTATGTGTACACACACACACATACATATATATAGGTTTGATGGTTTGTGTCTAGTCGATGTGGGACTTCAACATGTCCCCTTATAGGAGACAAAAGAGAATGTCAAGTCCCTAGTGCACAAAGTATATGTGCTAACTATTTGTCTATAAAACCAGGTTTTTCGTGGTGGCGAGTTCGATAGTGAGCGTGTACCTCATTCTTTCGCTAGCTTTCTCCGTCCTACACATCGTGAAGGCTAATGCAGTCAACAGTCGGGTCCTCTTGCTTTTTCTCGACACGGTTAGTCCCGAAAACCCGTCTTTCAAGTGGCGTTTTACTTTGAGTTCATGACGTTAAATATTCATTTGCGATCTATTGTCACTTGAGCTCACGGGTGTCCTCAACTTTTCTTTTGAAGTGTGTAAATTTTATATACGGCAAAACTCACACATACTTTTCACCTTTAACCTCCAAGAAGGTTGGGATCTTACCAGCTTGCCGTTGAGCCAATGACCATTTGGTGGTTGTGTAAGATCCCACATCGGTTGGTTTGAGGAGAAGAACTAAGGTTGCGTTATAAGGGACCGGATACCTCCTCCACTAGACGTGTTTTTTTACGTGTGTGGACAAAAGGGATAATATCTGATTCGGTTGGCATGAGATGTTACATGTTGACACTTATAACTCGAATGGTGTTTTGCAGGCGGCAATGGGTTTGCTGATGGCGGGCTCATCGGCGGCAGCAGCGATCGTGCAGTTGGCACACGAGGGCAACAACAAAGTCAACTGGTTTGCGATCTGTGTACAGTACAACTCGTTCTGCAAACGCGTGTCGGGATCCTTGATCGGGTCTTATGCTGGCGTTCTCATGTTGATTCTCTTGATCTTGCTTTCCGGTGTCGCTCTTTCTCGACGTTGATCGTTTCTTCAATTCCTCATTTACATTCGATCATCCACACCCGCAATTTGTATTTTTCGTAAAAGTTGAATTTTCTTTTGCTCGCACGTATGATTTCTCGTGTGTATTTCGGCTTTTTTCGCATTGTAATGGAATTTGTGATAATTTGATCCGCATCCATTCGGTTAATTTTCTCATCCATTTGAAAGAGAATAGAGCCACTCCTGATGGATTTTGGTCGGGTTTTGACGGTTTTGTGCAACCGTTGGTTTCCGGGTCAGCTTATGTGAACCAACTAATTCTTGGACAACCACGAATGTACGTAAAACCTAAAAATGACATGCAGATGATTCAAGATTTCTTTATGTTTCCTGAATGTAATCTTATAAAGTTAACAAACATACCTTCTCCATCACAAAAATAAATGTACATAGTAGAAATGACACACAGTTTTATAATTGAACAATTATTATAGTTTTTAATTAATCAAATGACCACTTTATCCTTGATTAATGTATCTAACTTATCAACTCTTAAATATTTATGCATTAATCAAGGGTAGATTTGAAAATTCAGTCATTTATTTTTGAAAATAGAAGTTTATCTTAAAATACATAAATAAAAATGTAGAAAGTTATTATGGTACATAGATAATATTGTTTTTTCTTTATTTAGAAACTAAAAATCTAGAAAACATGAAGATAGATCTCAACCACCACATGAAGATTTATATTTATATATATATATACATATATATATATATATATATATATATGGAGAGATAGTGTTTGTTTCAAATGCAACCTATCATATTTGTATAATCAATGTAACCCAATAAATTGAAATATTTATGGAAATGATAAGAACTCTTTTATTATGATTTAAATATTTATGAAAGATGAATAAGGTTCATTAATTATGATTAATAATTTATATTAGGAAACAATCAAAATTTCTATGAAATTACATATTCATCAAATTAAATGGACGGTTGAGATTGAGTTGTATTGTTTGTACAAATATAAAGGGTTGTATAATAACCCACCTCTATATATGTGTGTGTGTGTATATATATATATATATACACTTGGTATCACGTGAGATTAGCATGTTTTCGTGAGACCCGTAAGAACAGTTTTTACGCTTAAAACTTCACAGCAAAACGCTGTGAAGGTAACTTTCACAGTGTTTTTGCTGTAAAGGTTCAGCTTTTTTTACCTTTACAGCGTTTTGCCGTGAAATTTCAAGCGTAAAAAAAATGGTCTCAAGAGTCTAACGAAAACAAGTTGGTCTTACGTGATACCAAGTATATATATATATATATATATATATATATATATAATATATATATATATACACACACGACAGCACATTCCACAGGTTTGGGATTGCATCTTTCTAAATTGAATACACAGTGGTCGGTACATGACACACAATTCCCAGCCAACACTAACTTTACCTTTAGTTGGTATACTAATACCAGATATCTATATGTAGCAATCTGACATCTCCAATAACTATGTTATTTTAAAATTTTCAAGGATATAAAAAAAGTTTGTTCCATGTATCATGTGATATTTTTGTATTTGATATGATTTTTCTTACAGTGGTTATAATTTAATGTAGTGATTAACATATATTTGTTTCACAATATGAACTTTTTGGTGTGTTTGTGAAATAAAAAATACACGTAAAATAGTTTCACATTGTGAAGAAAATATATGTTAATCAATAAAGTGAATACTACAAACACATCAAAAATGTTCACATTGTAAACCGAGTACATGTGAAATAAACACAAATTGTGAAACAAATGTATGTTGATCACTATATTAAATTCTAGCCAGAGATGAAAAGAAATAATGTGAAACAAAACCTTAAGCTCCTGCATACACATCTTTGATTTTTTAAGTTTACAAATATTGAAGTTCTCAAGTGATAATGGAACGATTGATTGAGCTGTGTTGTGATTTCTTTCTGTAGGAATCAAGCAGGTGCAGACGTATGAGTCCTTGAGCAGGTTCGTGCACCCGTTCAACTTATTTTTGTAAGTAAAACTTTTTTTTTGTTTATAAAAGATGCATCTGCTAAATCTTGAGGGTGCTCCAGAATATTAAAAATATGAGGAACATCAACAGAAGAGCGGAAAAAACCCCTCGAAATCAACAAAAAAACCCAAAAAGTCTCTCAAAATCCACAACAAAACCGAAAAATTCTCTATCAAAATCAACCAACAAACCCACAAATATTTTGAAGCGGTGAATTCGGCTTAAAAAACATTGAACAACTTGGTCGGCCTTTGATCCACTTTAAATGTACATCCGTTCAGGGGCGGATGTAGTGAGGAGTGGTTGGGGTCCTGGTCCCCCAACAAAAACTATCTTACAAAGCCCAATTTTTTTACTTGTAATTTTCAATTGAGTACTGATAAGTGTTAATTTATTAACCTTATTACATCATTTTCTTAACCATTTTCCGTTGTTTTATTTGCCC